AGAAATACCACAGATTGTATTTAATTGCTTACAAGGAATGAAAAGCTATCTATAGACCAGTGTCTCTGCATGGCATGTTGTCTAATGGGTGTATGCTATTTTGTCAAAGACTGCAGAAGAAGCTTGAATATAACATTTCAACTCTAGTATTCTGGTTGATTTGACTCACAAAACATGCCTTTGGATCATGCATTTAGAACAATGACTATATTTGTGCACATCTGAGAAGCACCAAGTGTTACATGATAAACACATTCAGGATTTAGCAATCGAAGAGATGGACAATGAAACTATTTGAATGACGCAGTAAACGGGGGATTTCAAATGAACAGTCAGCATGAGGTGATTTCACTCACCAGGAATCAGGTATTCCCCTTCCTGCTGAGGAGGTCTGGATCGCACTGATTTGTCAGAGCTGCATGGCAAAGTGTGAATGATAAAAACAGAGAATAAAAACTGACCCACCCAGTAAATTAAAGTAAAGTTCCATTCATTCCTTAACAAAAGTCATATCCTGAAACTGAGCTGTAAACTGAAGAATTTAACTCAGAGGAGGTCCCGTGAGAAAAAAAATGAATGCAACTTAGACAAAATCCAACGATGCCCACATCACTATTGACCACTTTCCTCCAATCTAAGCTGCTATATTTAGCGACAAAGAGGAGGACTTTCCTCAGAAAACATTTTTTTCTGACCAGAGAAACGTTCCAAATACACTGATGTCATGAAGTCGAGCCCTTCAAAGAAAAACCGCCGACTCAGACAAGTTTGATGATGGCCTTGGTTGTTGTTGAAAGCAAGCTTAAATTGTCCCCAAAAAAGCCCCTGTTATTTACTATGTAATACTGTGTTCTGTTTACTCTTCCATACTTTGAACAGAACATAAAAGGCATAAGCCATAACGCCGCTCACAGTGCCCTTTTCTCACACACAGAAAAGCACACACAGACAGACACACATGTGCACAAACCCAGGGGACTTCCAGACCAACACACCTCCACCCACTCACTCTCCGTCGCTGCAGGCTGTGAGAGAAATATGCAATCCACACAGGTCTGCTTTCAATAATACAGATTAACAGAGAAGTGACACTTTTGACAGATGTCAATACGTTGAAATATGACATACTTAAATCTATCTTGAACACTCAACTTTCCTGGAGCTGCAGCAACTCTGACAAATAGTCACTTAGTTTCCGGTTAGAGGTCATGTGATATTTTCTAAACACTGGTGTCATTTCAGAGCCCTCACAGTTATTCCTTCAAGTATTTCAGATCTATGCTGCTTCTTCTTTTATCACAGAAGCTTATCTAGCCAGTTTTGACTCTGACTCCGATTTGTGGATGAGATCAAAGTGAAATTAGATCTTACTGTTTCAGTCTGCTTTTCAAGCATTTGTTGGTTTCAGGGTTAAAATGAGGACATGTTTCTCATTGTGGCAGCACGTCTCATAGGCAGTGATAAGTGGAAATTGGTCCTCAGAAAGATGTAATTTCATTGCATTTAATGTTGGATGATTATGAATGGTTGCTTTATGGACTGAGCAAGGTTAATAGACACATGAAAGGTGGCAGTTTTGAACATTCAGGTAATAATTAGGGTTTTATTTACTGTCTTGATTACAGCTTTTGGCTCCCTTCAGGTGCGCATGTACTTTGGCTGCTGAATGTTGAAAATGAAGGACGACCATAAGGCCACCATGCCCATGTAGCACTTGCTGAGCAAGGACAATGAGGCTGCTGGCAAAATAAACACATGGCAATACACAACAGTATGAGCAACTATTTCACAACAAACTGGACCGGTTTGGAAAGGACCTCAAGGTTTATAATGTCAATTTAGCTGATTACTTTTCAAATGTTTCAGCATTACTTCTTTGTTATTCTGTTTTTCAAGTGAGCTTTAAATATTTCAGTGGTTGCTAATGGTCCCTCTTAGTGCCTATTTAAGTCCCTTTTAAAATGTCACTGGATCCTGTCTTATGAATTGTGTGTTGCTGATGTCCATCAACAGAGCAGCATCAGCTTTTATTGATGTTCATTTAACATATCAGTCAGCCCCTACAGTAAACTTAACTACCAGTGTGAACTACAAGGCTACAAAGTGGACTTGAGCTGTTTGTTTAGACATTTTTGCATGAATCTTGTGTTATTCTACTTACTGAATTTAAACATTAACTTGTAAAGGAGTATTCTGCACTTCGTCAACAACTTATATTTTACTATCAGCTTACTGTTTCCACCACTGCAAAAACACAGTATGAGAAGAGGTTTTCAGATGTTAATTTTAAGATTTAATCTTGAAAAAGGTCACGGTTTGTTACTTTAGTGTGGAAAATATGCAGTTCAGCGGGTACAGGATTCAAATTAAATCATAGTCCTTTTACCTAACCATATGTGTATGTTGTAATAACAGCTTTGAATGAAAATGAACTGAAAATTTTTGTGTGGTTACGCACGTACTGTATGTGTCACTCTGAAAGCAGTATCACTCAAAATTATTCATGTACAGAATGGAAACAGGAACCACTCATGTGCCCACAAACATGCTGAATTAACAACATCTGTCACTTAATCACCTCCACTTTTGCTTGGTGTTGGGCTTTGGAGAGATTCTGAACAAACTAGAGATAGTAGATGATGATACATCTGATGGGTTTCAGTTTATTTTAAACTTGGTTTACAGAAATAAAATAACAGATGACCCAGCTCTTGACAGCAGCAGACTTCACCTCCACTGTGGTCACATTTCATGTCATAAACTTATCACTCCAAGTCCAGAATCCGCCTAAATTAGCCTCATGGTAAACCTGATGTATTTCATTACAGAAATAACTATTATTCCATCTGAGGTTAACAATCAGTCCATATATCCTCACCTACAACAACACATACTCCATTCACTGATCAATTAAGCCCACATTACTTGTTGAATGGGTGATTGTCTATCTCCCACCATGGTCAAGTTTATTTACTGGCAATCCCATTCAAATAATATTTGCACATTTAAAGTAGTGGTTGAGCTGGTTTAATAACTGAGAAGTGCTGTAATGCATTTTCTCTATGACATGTCAAGAGCTTTAATTTTCAAAAGACACATTTTACTTTTGCTCATATGTATTAAGACTTGAACAAAGAAACCATTGTTTTGCACACAACAGCAGCTTTTCCCTCTTTAAGGACCTCCTAATCATTTTGTGAAAGAGTTCTACACAGATCGACCAATTTGTCCACAAATCTGTTAACATACCTCAGCAGCCTGTTGAAATTCGGTTTTACTTTGCTAAGCAAATCTGGCCCTGTTGTTACTTATGCTTCTGTAATGTCTTTTGCAATTTCATTCGCTGTTCTGCAAATCTGGTATTAGTACAGACACTGAGTCAGGACAAACTACAATTTATTTCCCCAGTCTGGTATTGCAGCAAGTGCAAAAACCCTTAAGCTAGCCCACCTCAGGAAATGCGTACTCACTCTTTCAACTCATGTCTCTTATTTTGAAACCGTGACAATCATCTCGTAGAAAATTGGGAACTTAGTTTCTATTTTTTTTCACATGGACAGTCAGATTGAAACTCATAAACCTCAAATAGTTCAAGAGAAAGCAGGTTAAGGCAGTTCGTCAGGTAGCCTGTCCTAGAGCTGTGAAAGGATTGAACTTGATTGAACAAATATTTTTTTATCTATTATTATTTATATAATCTCAGGTCTGATTGAACCAACTGTGTTAACCTTGGCATTTTTGTAAATGAGGCCTCTTCAACGCATCTTCTAATGTTTGACTCAAAAATGTAGAAGTGGTAAAAAAACAAAAGAATTATTTCCAGTTCAATAATCTATGTTCAAACACCTTACATTAAGATCATGCCAGATTGAAAGCTAAAGGTGACAACACTGAGATTGTTTAGTAGGCTCAACTTTTTCAAGATAACGAAAATAGGGGAGACCGGGGCTTGTTGTCACATGGGTAAGTTGTCACGTTGCAATTATCTTTGCCACCAGAGGGCGCAATTAAAAAGTGGAATATTAGTTTTTTTCCTTTACATGGTCAGGGTTCGTGTCCTGTCTAAGAAGAGAAGAGCACATTGTGAGCTAAGTGCCAATAAATCATTTTGTACAACCCCAAGTAAAAAAATTATAATTTTATATATTTTAAGATAAGCTTCCTCCAGATAAAAATCCTAGCAGTGATACATGTGGACTTGTTAGAGGAGAGATTAAGGCATCCTATCATACCTCAGTCATTGTTCTGTTTTAAGATAAAGATATTTTAGTGCTGCTGCCGTTGTAGGCCTATGATTCTAACTAACGATATGTCAAAGCTCTGCTACAGTTATGTGCCTTCTGCTGTGCAATGTGCACTGAGCATCGTGAATGTGTTACATTTTGAGATTAAAAACCATATGTGACACCCTGAGCATCATTCATCAGTCATTTATTGGCATTATTTGTATGGTTGCATTGGTATTATTCATGTTATCACCTAGGCCCGCCCCTTAAATGTGTAAAGACATGTCAAGCGCATTAAATTTATACTGTAGTAGATGTGTGAATGATCAACAATCAATATTATTGGCAGAAATAGAGGGCCCCAGAATCAAATTTTGCTTAGGGCCCCATTAGGGCTTGGGTCTGTTCACACTCTTTATTTGATTGCTCATAACTTTGCACTGACACAAGATATGAAAATGACATGAATACAAAATATATGCCTGAGACTTGGTCTTTCATCTGGTACACGTTTTGTTTATATATGATGGATTGATTTCAAGAAATATCCAAGAGTGTAAAAAGTGTGACAACAAGCCCCGGTCTCCCCTATATTTCCATTGCTTTTACGTATGAATCAGTGTTCTTATTACCAACAAAAGGTGGCGTTAGAGAATAGCTAGTATTTTCACACATTTGTTAAAACAATCAAATTTAAATCATGTTAAACAACCAGAAGTAAACAGATTAGAGTAGGCTACATCCATTAATACAAACAGGCAAGGCTGCGCATGCGCACAATCGTACCACTGCAGGAGCAGTGACGTCACCAGTTTGAAGTAGATTGAGGCAAGCCCGGACACACTCCTGCAGACACTCAAACACATACACGATCGTTAGAGAGAGCGATGCGATCAGTGAAGCCCCGACCCAAACAACCGGCCGGCCGGACAAACTGACGAGCCGTGGACGGTTGAGTATTGGCGGACACATACACCCACACCGGGCCGGGGACAGTGGGCACGCGCTTTGTAGCTCGTTTTTTTCAGCTGTTCTTGTTCGTCAAAACAGACATCATCCTCATCACCTGTCCGCGCAATCTGTCACGTAGGGTTTTTTGTTTTAATCGCTGCGGACTTCGGGACATGACAATGAGTCTGGAGGACGAGCTGACAACTGCAGCGGTGAATGGAAACTCGGCGGAGGTGGAGGATCTACTCCGGAGAGGAGCTCAAGTTAACGGGCTCAACCGTTTCGGACGCACCGCTCTGCAGGTCAGTGACCAGTTGAGGGCCATGGCAGCCAAAACTCAAAACTAAATACACCTAAATTCATGGACTTAATATAAAACATTTACAGCCTTAAGTGTTAACAGAGATAATATGTAAAATACAGGAATGAAGGCGTCAGTGTTGTGTGTGTGTCAGGGATCATAATGAGGTTATAAAACTATGCAGCCTATCTACAGAAGCTTCAATAAAGATAATTATAACTTTCATTTAAATCTATTATGCTCGTTCAATCGAAACTAAAAGTTTGTGTGGATTAGTTAAAAAAAACAATAGGTTATTAAACGGTGTTTCTTTGCTGTCTTTGTTTTTAGTGAGTTTACATATTTATAGACTAATACACGTGAAATATTGACCAAGAAAACTGCTGCATTTGATGGTAATAGTGTCTTAACATTTCTAATAAAAATGTAACACATTTATTGAATTTGGTTTAGATCCATCTCAATTTTTTGCAGCAACAAACACATGAGTTAAAATTGTAGAAAAAAAACTTTACTGTTAACTTCATATACAGCACAGAGTCTATACCCTTAAACTATCAATAATGTTTATTTTGGTTCACATCTTTATTTCCAACCTGCAGAGACAAAGGGCCTTCATTTCTGCTCAGCCCAAAACACAACACTCTCTTCGTGCCAGTTAATGTTATGCAAAATTTCTTTATCTGAACAGAAAACGAAACATAATATATCATGAGAATACCTCAACAGGTGTGTCGAAGAATGCATCCCTGCATCCAATCCACTCACTAGCGTCTTAAAGTGGAAGAAAATGATCTCATATAAAAAAAAAAACACGAGTGTTGGATCATGACAACTTGTCAAATGGAGCAGCAAACTTTCGTTGTGTTTTTATGTGTCTCAAAAATGCACATACAGAGGTGTACTTGGGTGTATAAACTGTACAGTACAGAACATTATATTTTCGGGACAGCAAATATTCTATATCAGAGGGCTATTGTTTTCGTCTTAACTGAATAGCCTAAATAAAATCGTTAAAGGCACACGCTTTTGAAGGATGTGTAGTAAAGGTAGGCTATATATAAATGCATTCAGAGCCCCATCTGTCCACTTAAAAATTAAGATTAGGTAACTTGTGCTTGATATCTTAACACAGTGGTTCTCAACTGGTCTCACTCTGGGACCCACATTTTCCCATGGTCCTTAAGTCGTGACCCACTTTTATAGAATTCAAACCAGGCAAATTATATTTTTTTATTTAAAAAAAAACCTTTAAAGACTCTTATCTTTAACATAAATTCACTTGTTTTATTGAGTAAAGTGCATTTCAGAGCACATGAAGGGGACAACACGAGGACGGCAACTACTGAAGTTCCGTGTACAGAAAACATCAAACATCCAATTAAAATCGCATTAAATATTTACGTTTTTGACCAGCTGTTCGTGACCCATCCAGAACGTGTCCACGACCCACTTTTGGGTCGGGGCCCACCAGTTGAGAACTACTGTCTTAACATGTTTATTATTTCTATACCTATTTATTTAGCTTATATTAACCTACGTGTTTTGTGGTGTAATTATGCTTTAAAATAATCACAGTAAGGTTGGAGTCATTGTCGTCTCGGTGTGATATATGTTGAACCCTGTTGCTTTCTATCGTTAATCTGGTTTTATGAGGTTGTAAGTCACTGTCATGTTGTTGTGAAGGTGATGATGATGGGCAGCACACCGGTGGCTCGGCTCTTATTGACGCACGGTGCCAACCCCAACGTGGCGGACAGCAGCACCGGGCTCACCCCGCTGCACGACGCGGCCAGGACGGGCTTCCTGGACACTGTGCGGCTGCTGGTGGAGTTTAATGCGAACCCACAGGCTGTGGACAACGCGAACTGTCGGCCTGTGGATTTGGCTCGAAAATATGGTAACGAAGATGTGGTGAATTTTCTGGATTCTCTTGAAAACAGTCAGTGACGCTTTTACAGGCCCATGAAATCCTTTGCTGCTTCTGTCGACTCAGGACTCAGAGAACCGGGGCCTGTATGTATGAGGCCTGTGGACGCTTTTCTTAACAGATTGTCTGGCTTTTAAATGTCGTTGTATTTATTTTTCCTGAATCGAAATTGGACATTTTACTTTATTGGAAACGAAATCGGGGCGTAAAAGCGCACGGTCGCTGCTGGGACAGATCTGGTGGGTTTTCCTTTCACTGTAAGATAAAAGAAAAAGAAAAAAAAGCTTGCTTGTACTTCTTACTGTTAAAGCTGTATAGAGTGAGTTTGTAAGGAAAGCTGTTTCAGTTTCCTACTGTGATTTTATTTGATAAAACGAAACAGCTTTAAAATATTTTGCACTTTTGAACACTGATGTCCAGTGGTGGCACTTTTCTCTCAGTGTTGTCTGTTAATCTCCAGGAGCTTCAAGACTCATGTCCTGTTAGAACGAATCAATCTGAGATAAAACATAATTTATTAAATTTAAAATAATTTTTTAAAGTATGGTTGTGCTTAAAATGGACAACTGCCTAAAATATTGATTAGGCGACATATTGGTACAAGAAAATAAATAAAAAAGTTGTATAACTGTGTGTCTGTGTATCAGTATTTCCTAAAGGAGTGGCTTTATCAAACCAAATAGGAGTTTTACAGAAATGAAAATGTGCATCTTGAATGGGAAATGTTCAACTATACAGGCCATTATTGCTCTTCTGGTTTTACTGTAACTTTACAGTTAAGCATGACAATAAGATCAAGGCTGATACTGAAATGTGTCGCCCTACTTAGATGGGGACATCTTTGAGGACATTTTCACTTTGAGATCGAAGTAAACATACTTTTATATTGTAACCTATACACCACAATGAAATTGATTATTTCTCAAGGACACAGAAATGCAGCTAATTGGCTCTGTGTGTGGTATAAACACAAAAAAGTTTTTATTGCTGTAAAAAGAAAGAATTTTAGAAAGGTTTAAAATAGAAGAAAGGGGTTTGTAAAGTATGTTTTTATATTTTTATTTTATTGAGGTAAAATTATCCTGGTGCAAGTCTTGCGATCCTTAAAGGAGAAGTCTTCATTAAAGTCCTTAATACTAGAAAAATGCATAAATAACATAGAGTGTATGTTGTTTATGTTGTCTAATTTGAAATTTTTCAAGATTAATGCAAAGAACTGGCCTAAATACATTAACAGTGAACTGTCTTTATCTTTATAATTTTAATCACAATCTTAACTGAAGGGTAAGACTTAATGAACTTGTGTAAACATAGAGTGCCATTCCTATGCAAGTGGTAAATTTGCTAAATCTTCTTTTTTATCTGATATTTATCAGCAGAGGATGACAAATATAATCAGATGATTATGTTTTACAAAAAGAAAATAAGCACAACTTAACTTTAATAGTTTTTATTCAGATATTTATGCTGAATCATGCATTCATGTTAAGACAAGGCAATGAACGAGTGAATCTTCTCAGATACGGCAGAGTGTAATGCAGTGTGGCTGATTTTATAGGTACAATGTCTTTCCAGCTTTTTCCAGTAACAAATTTATGTGATTTCTAAGATGTGTTTTTCAACAGTTCTCAGTGCGATCAATAACGTGGTTTAATAGCTGGAAAAAACTCAATTTACAGCTCAGATTACCTCAGATAAATAAAAGGAATATAGGATTTTAAACCATGATGAAGAGAAACTAACAAGGAAAAGTTAAAAAGTGTTGAATAATAGTTCAGACTTTTCTGGTTGAACCGTTAAAAAGAAATTTGACTGGCATACTGATAACTCACTGAAATCAACGAATGTGTTCAAAAGTAAAACATCAAATGTGACTACGGCATTCAGTTCTCATGTGCTACACTTAAAGCAATTAATTGTATACTGCTTCAACAGCCCTAAAGACACTGATGGTCCACAGGCAACAAATCTTAACATTGAAGACACCAGAACCACAAACGTGTACTGTAAAACTATAACACATGATCCGGAGTCCGGATCCAGATCATGGATAATCTCAAAGGATTTGAAATCTATGTTTATTCTGTGAAATGTTTCAACTGTGGCCCGAGGTAAAGTGACAGAAAACTCCTACTTGAGAGACAATACTGTTGACTGTGTCTTAGAAAAAAAAAAAGAGTGAGCATGAATCGGCATGTAGTTGGAGGGTGGTGTGAGTACTTGGGGTTGGAAAAAAACACACTGGAACTCCAACTGAATACAGAGTTCATGGATTACTTATGTGAGGCACTTTGTTGTAGTTCACTGATGAAGCAGAGGCAAGTCTGCTGTCCGTGTCGGTGCCAGAGGTCTGTTGGACCCTCGTCCATTTCAACTCCATTGCTTGCTGCACACTTAGTGTTTGGGTAACATTACTGAAGATTGTGCTGTTGCCTGGAACAGAAGGAACAAAACAGCGGATATTCAATTTATGCATCACAGATAAGCAAAGACAATCACTTCACAGATCGTGCTCGAACTGTGGGGTTTGTTTGAGGGGTGCATTTGCTCTTGATTGAGGAGTTCATTTTTATGAGTTTTATTTATTATTCTGCTTATCTTTTAATGTTTTAAAATCTGATGTAGCAGCCAGGAGAAATGTGAAACATCAAGAGGCTACTATCTCCAAGTAAAAACATATACACTAAAAAAGAAAAACTTCCTAAGAATAAATGTAATTATTTATCCTTTCTGTGACCTTAAATTTCAAGCAAATTCAAAAATTATGTAAAAATTGATGCAAATAATGTACAGAGTGAAAAAACAGGAAGTTGGTCATGTGGTACATTTTATAAAATACAGGTGCAGTATTCTTAAACTGTGATTGTTACACCATATGTGAAGTTAACTGAGTAGAAAAATCACAAGTTGCAGTGTTTTGGGTGCACTGTGAATGGGTCTTCATAGTTATCTAAACCAGCTGATTTACAGCTCTATAAAGACGCTAACAAAGCACAATGAGTGTCAAAGGCAGCCCCTCAAATAAAAGAAACCGCCCCTGCTCACTTGTGGCTGTACAGTATCAATTGCCCTCATAAACACATAGTGGACAGAAAGTGGTCACTCTATATTGTAAATATAGAGTATATAAATCATTTATTTGAACCATGCCTAAAGAGACAACAGTAAGAGAGAAAAACAATAACTGCAACAGTCTAAGAGATAGCAAGCTTTAAGAGTAAACAATCCTTCTTTCATAACTAGTCCAATGAGTAACCCCACGGAAGTGAATCATCATAAAGTTGACAACTTACTTTCAAGGTCTTCATTGTCAGAGCCCAGTCCATCTGACTAATCTGAGGTATTGCAGTGAGCAGGATACTGCTGGCTTTGTTGGCGTTCTCCTTCATGGTCTTGAGTACATTGTCAACACAGACCTAGAATGAGGGCAGAAGACAAACAGCCGCAGGGTGATAAGACTCACTTCCTCCAAGTGCTACAACGACTTTGTGATTGCTAAATATGAACATCTTATGTATTCCTATTGATACTACAGACAATGTTCCCACTGTGAATAGAAAATCAGTGCTTATTCCTCACAGGCTAATGTGTTGACGACACAATCGGTTGTGTTGACTAAAACAACGAAGGTGCTTTCATTGTTTTCATATTCAACATTCATGACTTATTTAATTTCTTTTCAGTGGAGATTATCAGCAGATTGTCAGCGTTTCACTTCTACATCGAGAGTCTCTGAATCATGTGTCTGCAGACATTAACACGTTTGCTGGACATTGAGCTTAAAGAGATCATTTCCTTTAAGTCCTCTGCAGGTCCCTTTCGATTTTATAGAGCCAAGACCACAAACATTTTCAGCTCTACTTCACATAAATAACAAAAGCAAGATTTCAAGCAGTGTAGGATGTCATTCAGTGAAAATTAACATGATCAAAATACAGAGGTCTATCAAATTCCATCTACAACAACATGTATGCAAACAAAACAAAAAAAGAAGTATTAAAATCAGTAAAGTCACCCTGTCACAGCCTTTTTGGCCATTTGGTTTCTTTCTGCATGCAGCATTTTCCTACAGCTGCTGTGATGAAAATACAGCAGCTCTGCACTTTGAATTTGAAATACTCCTTTAGTAGACCTCCCAGCTGAAAAGTCTGACGTAATATGTAGCAATTTAAACATGACCCATATACTTTGAATATGAAGTACCACCTACAAGCTGGGCATACAGGTGCGGCTTTTAGAGCGATGTCATTGGGCGATCATATACCAAAGCCAGCAATGAACAACAAGTAAACGGATGTATTTCTCAGGCATGAAGACATTCGAGAATGCACAATGTTGACAAGTGAGTAGGTAGAAATGGTCATTCCTATTATACTGAAGATTAGTTTCTTCTTTCTTTGCAAACAACTACTCTCATCCTCCACTTCCAGCGGGTGCATTTTCAGCGGTCACTGTACAAAGACGGCAGTGCAAGATGGAGGTTCCTGTGGAAGGGGACCTTCTCTTAGGGTTCATAATGAAAGTCCCTATCTGAGTAAAACGTCCCAAAAGTCTTTGCATCTCATTCATGAACAGAGCGGTTTCAGATCGTTATTAAAATTCAATTTCCAATCTTATGAAGATGAGAGCAGATAAAGCTGAAGCGTTGCAGAGTTAAGTGTGACTCCTGCTGTTTTAATGACATTAATGGTAGTTTTCCAAACCTGATTTAGTTAAATTACCGTGTTTTTCAGACTATAAGACGCACTTAAAATCCTTAATTTTCTCAGAAATTGACAGTGTGCCTTATAATCTAGTGTGCCTTATGTATAACTACTTGCTGTGCTTACTGACTGATTTTATGTGGTACACTCTGATTCTATAGTACAATGCGCTCAAAAATCTGTCGAAATGCCTGAGTACGATTTTGGTAGGCAACAAATATCCACTCAATGGATAATTGGAGCATTACAGTACACTCTGTCACTACCTGATCGGCCCCATTACAGGACCCCTGAGCAGTCTACAAGACTGTCTGACTGTAATGTCTAAACTAGAAGTGCATTCAGGTGCGCCTGAAAAATAGGGTAATTAATGTAAGCAGCTGTGTTTGCAGTTCAGTGTTTAATTCACACATTACTTCTAAGCTAATGGTAAGACAGGACCAGTGGAGACAAATAATATTCATAAAAGATAAAATAAGATTTTGAGCTTGTAGAGTCAAAAGTAGCCTTATCTATATAAAAACAGGATCTGATTTCATGATGTAAACACAGTAAGATAAGTGAATAAAAGCTGTTTATACAGTGATCTCATTTTCACATTTAGATCATGTCTGAAACCTTATAATAATAATAATAATAATAAAAATAATTGCTTTATTAATATGACACTTTTAAAAACAGGGCTTTACAAAGTGCTTTGACAGGCAGGTGAAGCACTGAGACGAGCACAAAAACCCAGCATCCGATGTTTTCTGGCAGACCGTCTCTGCAGCTGAAGGCTTTCTCATCCTTCTCACCCTCTGCCTCAGTAGCTGCAAAAACCTGAATGCTTCAGCTAGTTCATAAAAACAGAAATCTCTCTTATGTTCAGCAACTTAAACTAATATTTTATCCCATTTTTACTGAGTCTTTTCTTAGATTCTTCACACTCTTCAAATAAATCTGTGTAAATACGAGATTAAATTTTCAGTGAATAGAAGTGACAGCACGGTTCCTGTCCTGTTTTTATGTATTTACCTCCTGTAACCTTCATTAACCCCTCCCCTCACTGCTTTGTTTTCATGTCCCACGCTGTATGGCCCACTAAATGTTAATGTTTTTCTGGTGTTTGCCAGGATGAAGACAGTGAAGCTGATGACTCAGTGTGAGTCAACCTCCTCTGGCAGGGCTTCCACCGGAGGCTGGCAGGCGAATTGACTTGAGGGAGAGAGGGAGGGAGTGAGGGGGGGGCAGGAGGTAGTATTAGACAGGGTGGAGGCGGTGGGGGCAGGCGGAAGGATGTGGCGAATGCTCTGCAACAGGAGGGGGAAGAGGTCAGCTGCAGGAACTCGGAAGTGGAGTTGTGAGTTGGGCTGGATCTGTGACAAATATGCCTAAACTCGCCCCCACAGTTCATCTACTGCTTTATCAACAGTGTCTGTCTGAGGTCATTCGGAAGCCTCACGAAGCCACAGATACTGCGGTCTGCGTACGGAGGACAGATGGTGGATACCTCCCTGGAGAACTAAATAGTGGAAGTAGAACAAACGTTAATTTTCTTAAAAGCTTTAGGGATATATTAACTCTATCCAAACCATCTAAACTTTTTATGATGGAAGAGAGACTAAAGGAACGACTCTTTTCTGCTTATTAGCTCAAATTTAGGCATACCCCCAGACTTTATGATCTTCATCCTCTGAGGTTATGCTCCTCTGCTCCCTATTTTTTTGGCTGTTAAGTCAGTTTTTTCATGTCTCTGCTGAATTGCTCCTTTCTTTAAAGAAAAAAAAAAGTGTGTTGTTACTCCACCTCCATCGAGATTAAGTTGTCCTACTTTTGTTCTATTTTGTTCTGGTCATCTGAAAGTGATCAAACACTATCATGCTTTGTAAGAAATTCAAGACGGATGTTATGCACCATGAGATAACAATTCCGGCTAAAGGAAGAGACCGAACGCTGCAGTTAGCGGCAGACAAGCTTAATTTTGAAAAGCAAAACTCTGACAATCTGCCTTTTGGAGAGAGGGAAGTGAAAATAAAGCTATTAATAACTCTCCTGAGTGGAGTAAAATTAATGAGGACAAAGATGATCCAGTCGAATGTTACATAACTCACTAAGAATGTGGTCTGGTTTGGTTGCTGAAGAAGGATTTCACATGAATTCACAGGGTCCAGATCGTCAGTCCCGCTGTATCGTAGTCACTTTGAGCTCAGTAATAACCTAAGAAGACGGTTTTGTTTTGCTCAAGGCCTTTGGACTGAGGAAAATCTGCACCGCTCGCTGATTTCGTTCAATATTATGATGAAAGGATGAGGTGTGTGTGAAAAACATCAGCTTTTATGACGGGGCTCACTCTGCTGCTCAGCATCAGTAGACATCCTCTCTCCTGAATCCATCTTCATCAAAAATAGCAGAAGTTTCTGTTCCTTTTTTCACAACCACATTGTTTGGGCCCTTGTCTTCTTCCTCAATCAACCTGCAAGCTTCCTATTAAGTTGCTGTCGCCAAAAAGTCAACCCCAATTCATGAGAGGGGCAGCTTACGGTTCACTGTGAATTCAGCTGACTGGACAAATGATGTGAATGGATTCTCATTTTTACAAGGCGATGTTTGATAGGACGAATGTTTGATCGCATGGTTTCTCTTATTCATTTCATTTCCGGTATTTTTAAACCTGAAATTCATGCACAGAAACACTGCGTGGGAGCTGCATTTGAATGGTGCAGCACAATTTCATGAGACCAAATTATTTCACTGGGTCAGTGGTTATTTATGCTGCACCTTTATGCATTCCCCAGGCTACAGGCTGCAGAGATTAAGTCGGCTGGCTGTTAAACAGTTTAGAATAATCTGCTTTCTTGTAAGAAGGAATGTGGTAAATACGAGCAGGGAAGTCCGAGACAGGATTTTTAAAGCATCTGTGTGGAGGAGTCTGCTGGGTGCAATAAACAGGACACAACAGAGTTATACAGAGTGATCTGGTACAAAATTTCACATCAATTCTCAAATGCCATGACTTAACTATAGAAAACATGCTCATGAGTGTGTTCATGTATGAGCAGTTTTATACACCATCAGATTGAACTAATCCTGAAATTCCAGGGCAAAGGCTGGATATTGAAATCCTGCAGAATGAGGCCTTTTTTTTCATTTTTCTGTTAAATAAACAGTTCAAAAGGTGATGCTGTTTCAGCGGCGAACTAAGAGGACAAGACAATACTATAAAACATCTGCCACTGCCACAGCCCAATAGAAGGCAGATGAAACGAAAGTATCAATGGGGAAAAATGAAAGGATGGCATTAAGATAGATTGGGTTTGGATCTCACTTGTCTCCAGCCTGCTGGTTTCCAACTACAATCCAATGATCTCCAGCGACAGTTAGGACTTTGTTTACTAAAGGAGTCCAAGACACCTTCAAACAAATAACAGTCGAATTACAGTTAAATCCGTTATTACTGGCCTGACAGACAACCACACAGAGTGACAAACAACTGATGTCGCCTGAAGTGCCCCAACCATGCGTGAGGCCGTGATGACTCACTCGAGGCACAAACAAAGACAGAAGAGACATCAAAGTGATAAAAACGGCCCTGAGGAGCGCCAGCCCGCCACTCACCGCCTCCTCGTGTTCCTTCCAACAGTCATAGTCTGTTGCCATGGCAATGCTGGCATAGCACAAGCCGGCCTCCTTGGCGAGGACCACCTCTGGCACGGTTGTCATATTGATGACGTCAGCGCCCCACTGGCGGAACATCAGGCTCTCGGCCCGCGAGGAGAAGCGAGGCCCCTCGATGGACAGCATGGTCCCTCGGACGTGGCACTTAATCCCCAAGCTGCGGGCCACCTCCACCAAAACCTGCACCACGACAGACGCAGACATGATAAACATCAACATTACACCAACGGGATAAGAGATGGATGCATCTTTGATTATTAATCGTTTAATCCAACTTTTCAAACACGTATTTTCATAATAACACCTGGTGTGTAAATGCTGTTCATGCTAGAATGGATGCCATCATATTCTGCTAACCTGCAAGATACAATTAACCCAAAGTTGAGCTTTCATCAACTTAAATCAGCGGCTCATTCCTGAAGTTAAGATCTGAGCTATGATCATTTACTTGATATGACAGAAAAGTGCAAAAATTATACTTTTGCTTCAAATACCAAAATACTATCATGAATGTAAATGTTATTAGATTCTTTAATTACATTTTGCATAAATAACCCTTTTGAAATATAAATATTTATACACATACATATAAAATTCATTCATATATCATTTCAGAGCAACATAAGTGAAATACTGATGCAAAATTTAACCATTAAGAGCAAGACTGCAGCTCTGTGACCATATCCAGTGGAAATTTGGGGCAGAAGACAATTTGGAAGTAAATTTGGAACAAATGTTTGAAATGAATCATTGAACAAAAGCTTGATGCTGACCACAATAGATAAGGTTTATTAACTGGCACATGTGTTCAGGAATCCAAGGACCCACCTCTCTGGTTTTGCTGCAGAAAGGCTCAGCCATGGGGATGTGACACACTCCTGGAGGACTGGTAGGCTGTCCATCGTACAGAGTCTGAGCTCTCTTGGTAGTTCTGGTAAAAACAGACAAAACGAAAGTTTTTCGTCACTGCATGCCACACAAACCTCAACTATGTCGCCTGTTTTGCTCAAGTTTATGTTCACTTGAAATAAACTGTGACTTATTTGGCAGATTCTTTCTATTTTCACTTTTATGACCCCGAAAATTTCAAGAATCACCGTCAACATGAACACCTCAGACAAATATCTCAACCATTTAAAACATGAGTGACTCTGCCAAAGACAATAGCAATCTCCAACAGTGACGCCCAACCCTGTCTTTGATTCATAAAGAAGAGAAAAGTTAACACTGAAATGGAATGAACCGTCTTCAGCTCCACCCTACAGAGAATTAACGACAGCCGTGTGAGAGACAAACATGGAGCACAGCACAATGCCGGCGTATGCAACAGAAATCGAGTTATCGAAAATTCGTCATGTTTTTAATCGAGAAAGAGGAAAAGGACTTCTACATTGAATAACCATGAAAAGTTAAGATTATTCATCTGCTCCAAAAATACAGAAAGTTTTCTCTTCAATCCTGGTTTTCTTGTAGTCCCCCCAAAAATGTAAAATAAATAGGTCAGGCTTACAAAAATTGGTATAACACTTAAATTTTTAAAGGACTTGGATTGTTAATATTGTGTGAGTGTCTATAAGATCAGAGCACTGTCATTTGATTTAATGTGAAACTCAAGCTGATCAAGGTGTGGTTTAACAAAATCAAGCAAATCAAGAGTGTTGAGTCGGGGTTATAGACAGACTTTCAGTTTTGCCTTTTGGGTTTCAGGGTTTAACAAAAGTGTTACCACACCCCTAAATCTGCTTCAGAGCAGGGTTTGTTTCCAGGATACTTCACTGTATCAACACTTACAATTTGATTAGGCCAATTTATTATCATAACTATTATTATCATTATTAATCCATTGTTTCTGTCGTTATGATGATTAGAAATAAAAACTCCTCGATAAAAAAAAATTCTACAGCAGTACCACAATCAGAGTCAATGAGCTTTTTATCATTAATTTTAAAACTATAAACATTTTCAGTAGAAAATTCTCTCATGATCTGGATTCACTGCATGTGTAAATGCTGGTTCAGGTGAAATGATCAAGTTTCCCAAAATGAGTACAAGGTGTCCGTTTACTTTTGGCCGCACAGAGAACGCCATTCAGCACTCCCCAGTTCCTTTAATTTGCATGACTAATAATCACCTCGGGCAAGATACTGAGAACAAAACTGCCCCTGGAGGCACAGTGACTGAAAAATGCATGGGTGCGAACAAGTCATTGTGTAGATCCTGATGGGCAAGTTGGCACCTTGTATGACCATCAGTGTATGAATGTGTGTCTTCGGTGTTCTTAAATACGAAAATGCATCCATGTGGATTACAGTGTAAGGAACTGAATAAGTGGATTCTGTCACAGTTCTATCAAATACAGTTCTAAGTGGAGTAAAACTGCAAACAAGAACAAATAAATTAAACTTGTAGGAGTTAAAACTTCGTCCCTGCTTAAGGACTGATGCTTCTCACTTGGCACAGTCCACGGTAACATAGCAACCGAGTGTTTGGCTGGGAGCAGCAGAGGTGACACAACAAAAGTGGCATCAATAGTGAGGCCTGTGGAAACATGCTGTCACATGCTGCGGGACAAGTCTGAACAAGTCCTAACAAACAACTTCCTCATGTCTGATAAATAGATCTCGTCTGTGCTTGATACTGGTAGTTTAACTATTTGTCGGATTCTCCAAGACAGGCGGGCAAAGCTAGAGGCAACGTGATGAGAAGCACACTGACAGGACTGTGTGAAGGCAGTCTGCTTCTTATCTCTAACCAGCTGTAAGTCAGATCAACGGTAAGACATGTACCAGTGAATTGTTACGAGTTACCACTGAGTTATCAACAGGAACTTGTAAAATAAGCCTAGTGAAAGAGAATAACTCTCCCTCGGGGTCATGTCATGCCTTGCGGTCTGAAACGTCTGAGAAAGTTTGCTTTTCAGTGTTACTGACAAAGAATGATTCTCGGGTTCACCTACAGGTGTGATCTTGAGAGTGTGGGCTTCTGATGATGTGAAACAACAAATGCAAGAGTATCTTCTAAAATTATGGTAGGAATACTTTTGAAAGACTTAAATGTCAGAATCTCATAAAAACACAGACAATATCAATATACTGCCATTATAACATTATAATAGAGGAATTAAATATACTCATGATGAGTACATGAAGGAATTATTACAGGAGATCTAAACAAAAGCTGCTTTGAGTTTGTTTAAATGAACGTTCTGAGAACTGACTGGAATTGTGAGAAAGTGAAACACAAGACAAACAGGAAGGAGGCCTCGCTGTTAACTAAAATATCTCAGAAGCTAAACTCAAGTAACAAAGGATACGACTTCTCACCCGTGTCAAACGTGGAGCACCAGAGTGACGACAACCTTAACATCTGATACGCTACGACATCTCAAGGCCCAACAAAACATTGAGGAACGGTTCATGATTCTTCACAACAGAACCAGTTAGTTAGCAAACATCCGCTATGATCAATGCGTCATGTGGGAGTAAAGTCCTCTCCCTCTTCCACGGGGCTGATATAACATGCAAGCTCCACAATAACACAAGTCCTCACTGCGAGATGTGTGAAGAGATGCTTGTGTTATTATACAACACACTTGTTTGGGATCAATAATAGCTGGAAAATAAGGGTCAAAACCCTTAAAGGAACACATTCAGACCATAAACAAACCAGTCTTTGCATACTGGATTCTTGTCAACAAAAAAATATTATCACAACGTTTTTATTCAAATTTCTTGACCTGAGTCCTCAAAAAGCTAAACCAATAAAATAAGTACTGAGATCAAATCTATATTCTATTTCATAAGCTGTTTTTGTAAGATTAGGATGGCTGAATGCGGTTGCTGGTCACATGAGTTTAAGTCCTTCAGTGATGAAAAGCTCATTTGCATTTTTTGGATATTATTAGGTCTGTACTTCACAGTGTTCTGTATTCTGTGTGAAAGAACTGGGATGTGTTAGGTGATACATGTTTGCCTTTTTCTGAATGGAGGCCGAAGCTTTCTCAGAACTACTGCAGTGGGACTGAAACTGGGATCAGGTTTTAGTAAAAACAAAAAACTCTCACAGACCGACTGTCTCCATTCATATTTGTGCAGTACGCTCTAACAGCTTGCTCTGTTTACACACCAGAGAAAATGTTATGCTTGTGCTAATATCACCTGTAATCTTTTTTTTTTTAAATCCTATATGGTCTTCTGTTAAAATAACTTCAGGTCATCATTTTGCAGCACAGCAGTGTCCTCGAATATAATGAACATTTGTCACCTTACCTGCACAGCACTATCTCACTATTCGACCTGCGACTGTTACAGCAGCCAGAGCCAAGATGATCACACTCACTGCCAAGCATACTTTTAGCCAATGTTAAAAAAAATTTCAATAACACAATTAAAATTCTCTCCCTGCATATCCTGCAGCAGATGTAGTTTTAACATCCCACTCACCTGTCTATAAACTGATCTATAATGACAATGTCTCCCGGCTGAATCTCCTCTCGCAGTGAGCCGCAGGCTGTGGTAACCAGCAGATGGGTACAGCCCTCCTCTCTCAGAGCCCAGATGTTGGCCTGGTAGTTTACATTGGACGGCATTATGGTGTGTTGTCTCCCATGCCTGTATTCAAGGGGGAAAAAAAGAGGATGTGGAGAATGTAAAGGTTATAATTGTAAAATGGAGAGAAAGATTGAAGACATGTTGAGGGTTCATAGAGGTATAAACAGTGTATGACGAAAATGGGTTTATCCACTAGATGGTGCCAAAGTGTTTCAGTCACACTTAAAAACAAAGTTCAAAAAACTGTCTTACCTTGCAAGGAGCACGCATTCCACATTTTTTATCTTTCCAAGGATCAAAGCATCTGATGGCTGTTTGACAGGAGCAGAGAAATTCAGTAAGACTTTAGATTATTTGCTTTAAAAACATGCACGAATACAGTCTGAGCTTTGTATTTTAGACGTCCAGTCCTGGATGGCAGACAACTTTTTGCAGCTAAATCAGGACAAAACTCAGGTTTTAGTTATTGGTACAGGTCCACAGCGAGAGAAACTGGAGCAGAAACTCCAAGCTCTAGCTTTTAATCCATGCAAAGAAGTTGGAAATCTGGGTGTTACATTTGATTCAAACCTCAGTTTTGAGACACAGATACCAGATGTTACCAAAAAGGCATTTTATCATATAAAGAACATCTCCACAGTGCGCCAGTTTCTCTTTCAAGCCAATGCAGATGTTCTTATTCATGCTTTTATCGCCTGTAGAATTGACTGTGGCAATGCTCTCCTCCCTGGTCTTCCTAAAAAGAACATTTCACAGCTTCAGCTTCTACAAAATTCAGCTGCACGCATGCTGACGAAAACCAGGAAGAGAGCCCCACATCACACCAATTTTAAAATCTCTGCATTGGTTACCTGTGTCTTTTAGAGAAGGTTTTAAGGTTCTTTTATTAGTTTTTAAGGCTCTTAATGGTCTTGGTTCTTCTTGTTTGTCTGATTTGCTTTTACTGTATGAGCCGAGTAGAGCCCGCAGGTCTTCAGGTAGTGGTCTTTTAATTGTTCCCAAAGTAAAAACTAAAACTTATGGTGAATCATCGTTCCAACATCACGCTCTCCATCTGTGAAAAAGCCTACCTACAGACCTGAGAGCGACACCTACTGTTCATATTTTTAAAAGGAAACTCAAGACCTACCTTTTTAGTCTGGCTTTTAGTTCAGTTTTGTTTTAATCTTTTAATCTGCATTATGTGATTTTACCCTGTTTTAGCCCCAGAGTAACTATTTGGTGTTTTATGACCTCTTTTTTTAAATTTATTTTCTGTTATTGTTTGAATTTAAGACTGTTTTATTTAATTAACTTTTAATGCTTCATCACCTTCATTATATTTTATCATGGTTTTATCATTTTAGTCCTAGATCCAGTGTTTCCGCATCTTTTAACTCAAGATAGCGTTTCCTGAGTCATCTGTGGTAAATTGAACAGTCCTCGCCTGGTCTTTTTTGTGTGCATCTGTGTGTTTGTGTGTTTGTGTGAGTGCTGTATGTGTTGAATGGAGGTTGGAATGGTGAGCGGGTTTGGTATTTGTATTTGTATTTATTTTATTTCATTGTTTGTAATATTCTGCTTGAATGGACAGCATTTTGTGCTACATTCTTTGTATAAAATGTGCTTTAAAAATAAAGTTTGATTATTTGATTGATTGATTATATATCAATATGATATACAAAAACGAGCATTTTAAGTCTCAAGATCACAAAATAAAACTGACCTTTCCATATGGAGTGTCTACATAACGCTCGGTCCTTCCCTCCAGGATATCGGGATCATCAAGACCTGAACCACCGATAATTCCAATCTAAACAAAATCAACAACACACAACAAAATCAAGTTGTTATCAGAATACATTAAGTTTTCAAACATTTCAATATCGAACAAATACACAAAAGTTTTTGTAAATTTGGGCACAAAATACACAAAACAGCTTAAATATGGAGTTAAACTCATGAGCGTACATGGCATAAGCCATCAATTTATTTCTCCCTCCAAGCTGTTTGTGTTTTAACATGTTAACTGTTACTTTACTGGCAGTTAAAAGGTAAGTATATTTACTCAGTTAAGTAGATACGCTTTAGCATTTACACATATTTACTTTCCTGTTTACATTAAGTTACAGTCGGTTAACAGTACTGCCCAAGGCAAGGGATCCGCATGCTCATTTGCATATGTAGTTACAACTTAACAGCACTTTTACTGACACTGTACTTTACAGAAATATTCAAAATAAAACCTTAATTTAAAGAAGTGCAGTTTGGCCAACAGTTTAACAGCACATGCCATGTATTGAAGCTACACTCCTCAAAAATAAACACGTATGTGCACTCACTCAAAATCACGCATATTAAAAATAATCTTATTTTTGGTTAGTATTAGTCTTCTTCCATGTCTTTGGGCCTTGAAATGACATTATACTGACCATATTAAAATGGTGTGTTGGAGTGAAAGATAGCAAGTTTTGAACTATGTTGAATCACATTTCAGATGTTGTTGACCTGGAATTTTTCATTCAACTTAAACTAGTTGACAAGAATTACAGCAGTCATATTATAATTACTTAAATTTTTCATCATCCATTTCAGGTTATTTCCACATGAAACTCAGATTTACATATTGTCATGGAAGAATATCTAACAGTAAAGATAAAGTTTAAGGTTTGTGGATACATTAGCGTTGATAGCGTGGTAAGGACTCTGTCAGTTTTAAAGTAGGACCTCCATCCATCATCCTCCTTCGTGTGACTGTCCTCCTACAGCTGTCAGGGTGCACTCTACCTGGCCACGTGCATACAGTGAACTGAGAGGGTTCACCAATAATACCGCTATCAAGGAAACACGCGCACAGAGCATCAGCTCAGTTAGCATTGACTTCCCGCGCGTGCTGTTTAACCACGTGCACAAGGCTGCAAAATATAAAGCTATTGATGGTAAAATGAATACAGAGAGAAGCTTTTCCCGCACTTTCAGGTTCATCTAAGCTGTAAAAAAAACTACACTAACTAGCTTGAATTTCTCATTGACTTCCTTGTTTCTTCGTCTTCAACCACACAATGTGCTGTGAGTAAAATCCTCAGAGTCATCAAAGATAACACATTACCTTAATTGGCACTGTGGAAGCCATATCGTCAGTGTTCCTCCCGGAATAAAAATGAGATTTTCCCTAATCTGTCAGATACTCTTTATATAACCTAAACAGCAACATCCGTCGGCACCTCCGACACGAGACACGCCCTTTCCTGTCTATTTGCCTTCAAAATAAAAGCACGGAGTTTCACTGTTGGGTCTGTTAGGTCTCCAAAATAGAGAAGCTGGACTCTTCTTGCCCGTGTGTGAGGCTGAGAGCTGGTCAGGTTGAGTCTACAACAAGAAATAAATGTTCATGTTAACTATAATTTCAGGTGCAGGTACATTCAAGATGGGCTGAATTAAAACCAGAGACAGAGTTTTTGTTGTTGTTTTAATGTTGCTGCTGTCCCCTGTCTCTCTCTCTCTCCCTTACTCATTCTCTCTCTCCTTCCCTTTATCTTGTTCTCTTTCTCTCCCCCTGCCCTCTCTCCACTTCTCTCTCTCTCTCCCCTAGCCTGGCTGGGCCATCCTGTTGCGTGATTCACATAACAGGATGGCCCAGCCAGGCTATCTCTCCCCCATCTCTCTGTATTCCTCCCCAACCCAGCAGCACCATGGTGGCTGTCTAGCATGAGTCTGGTCATCTTATAAACGTGACTTTGGGTTAAAACAGATGACTAGCAGCAGCAACAGAGTTCAGAGGTCCAGAGTTCATAGACAGGATGCGACTAAGGACACATACACAGCAGTTAGTGAGGGGGCATGCAATAAAACTGTAAAACTAAAGCACCGATGTTGCTGCAGGAGACCCTTTATGTCCACCTGCATGAAATCAACCCCTGAACTACCCCGTATTTAGTCAGTGAACATAATGTATGCTTTAGCTTTTCATATGTCTGAGGTTGCGCCATCACAGCATTTATCAGAACCCAAATTGTATTCGTACGATGGTTATTAATTTCTCATTTCAAGATCAAGCTTAAACACATTCGAACTCAAAGCATGTAAACCTAATTTAAAATGGCCTACACCCCTTTAAGAATGCAGACATTTGAAATAAAGAGGTAGAAAGTGTATTTACGCCAGGGACTTTGACAAGCAAAAATTTTTAAACAGGTCTTGCTCCTAAAAAGTCTGAGTTATAATTACTTTATGATGAATGTAAGGACAGCTCAGTTTTCTCTGACTTTCTGCAGTCAAAACTGGCCAAAAATTAAGTATTCTGTTAAACCATTGAAATGCCCATTCTCCAATTATCTGTTTGTTTGCTTAAAGACAGTGTGCCAGTACCATTAAGATAAGATACTCCTTTATTAGTCCCACAAGGGGAAAATCTGATGTATTGAGAGGAGGCGTGTAAGAATACATTTGTGTTTCTAGACGTGGAGTGTTCTCATTTCACATATATTTATTATGCACGTCACAGGTTGTACTGTAGGTCAATTTTTTGCAAATTTTGATTGCACGTGATTTTTTTGTCCTGAGGTCTGAAATTTTTTCCTTTAACTAGGAAAAAGGAAGAAGTGATAAATATTATATCCTTAAAAGTATTCAAATCAACTCTGGTCAAAATGTCAGTTTGCCTCTCTATGTGCATGAAACTATCATGGATAACTTATGGATGATAGTCACCTCATCTGCTCCTAAATCTAAGAAACAGAAAATATCATCAACATAGTGCACAGTGTTGCTCAATACAATTTATTTTAAATAAAATTCAATACAAAAGAGCCCCATTTGGCATCCATACACCACCTGTCAATTTTAAGTGCTGCCCAGAAGCAGGTGGAAATGGTGTGGTCTGAAGAATACATCTGGCATATGATAACATTAAAAATTCCACTGTTATCAATGTAATCCCTGAGAGTACCTGAAAAATAAAATACAGCTGATAAAAAAAGAAAGAAAATTTCCAGAGAAAAAAACCTGACACTTGAACAGGGTTTCACTGATCCATTCCTCATTGTGGCACTTGGCACATAGATAAGGACAATGGTTCGGTGTAGTCATTGTTCAGGAAATCTGACAGAAATGGCCTGTGATGTTTGTTTTTGTTTTTTTTAATGATTACAACTCAACAGTTTGACAAAAACATCTCTGCCATGGAAGCTCAGCCCACTGAACTCTTACAGTGTCATTTATAAAAGAACATCATCTGTAAGTCTAGTGGCCTTAAATGTCAAATTGTAGCAATCTGTATACTGCTGACAGGCCTTAGCAGCTCGATGGAACCCTATGAAATATCTTCATAATCATACTATAATTATGCATGAGAGTCAGCAGGGATGGGGTCTCCTGGGTCATCTGTACTGTTGTCTTTAGGGTTGTCCTTGCTTGCGCCAGAGGTCTGTGTGACTCGAGAGTTTACAAAAGAATCACTGTCACTGTCAATAGTGATGACGGTGGGTGAGTGCTTCTCCGTGCGATCATCACTTCTGTGTCTTTTGCTCTTCTTTTTGTGTTTCTTCTTTTTCTTGTGCCGTTTGCTTCGCTCATGCCAGTTTTCCTCATTGACAAGCTCCACACTCAGACTCCTGCTTGTTTTCCTTGACCTCTCTTTGGATTTTTTACGATGCTTCTCCTTGTTCTTTTTCTTTGTGGGAGTCGAAGCTCTGCCCTCAGCGTCAACGGTGGGAAGGGTGCTGGATGGTTCCTCTAAATGTCTTGTCTTGTATTTCCTCTTGCCACCAGGCTTGTCGTGGTGCGACCTTTTTTTCGCTGAAGGGGAGCGACTGCTCGAATAAGATCTGGACCGAGAACGCCTCCTATCCCGCCTTCTGGAGTCCCTGCTGCAGCTCCTGGAGCGGGAGCGGGTGTGCCAATCGGAGCGCTTGTTACTACTGTAATAATAGGAATGCCTCTCTGTGTAATGCGTCCCATTATCCATTCTCTCTTGATTGTAATGTCTGTATGACTGATAGCTTCGGTCATCATGCCTTCTATTGTAGCTACTGTCACGTTGAGAGTAAAGGTCTTTGCCACTAGAGTAAGAATAACCTCTTGCTCTGGAAAGAGAGCTAACACTGCTGTGGGAATTTGCTGGACTCCTGCTAAGGCGCCTGCGCTCTCCACTTCTGGACCTCCTCCTTCTCTTATGGTCTTTTGATCGGTGCCTGTCCCTTGATGAATCATGACTGTCAAATCTTTTGTCTCTGTCTTTTCTGTCTGATCTACTGGATGTCTTGTATCGGCTAGATGTTGACGAGCTCTGTCTTTCTCTTAAATCAACTTGATAATTAGTTTCTGCATTTTCTGACCGTCCAGCACCGCTGCTCTGAGAAGCTACAGGACTGAGACTGGAGAAGCGGATGTGCTGTGGCAAAAGAGGCACTTCTTTGGTGTCTTCACCATCAGATTCCTCAGAGTTGGAGGAGAGCTTCACCAGCTCAGGAGTCCTCTCTGCTGTTGGCTTGACAAAACCAACAATGACACAGTCATCACTGTCAGAAGTCAAACAATCCTCTTTGTTTAATTCGCATTGTGTAGAATCCACTTGTGTGTGGGCACTTCTTAACTCTTGTGTTTCTTCCTCACTGCTGTCAGAGTCTGAGTCTAACACAGACAGACACTCTGCCCTGCTCTGCTCTACTGTGGTTGAATAGGAAGGTCCTGGTGTCTCATCATCCCACACAGACTGACTCAAATTAGAGGTGGAGTCTCCCCGAGGATCCAAATCCATAGAGTTTCCCTCATCCTCAGAGATAGCTATAACAGATGAGTTAGTGCTGCTGTCTTCATTTGAAGAAGGTGCTGGACAATCATACACAGCATGTTGGTCATAGGCTTCCATATTGAAGGGAGACTTTGCAAAGCTGATGAACTCATGTAGGAAGTGCTCTGTGCGCCCCTGGAGGAAAGGCCTGAGCTCTTCCTGAATAGCTCCATCCTCCATGTCATAACGTGTAATCCGAGACATGATGATGTGTTGAACTATGTTGACCAAAGAGCCGTGGGCTCCATAGAGGACAATAAGTTCTCTTTTTAGCCAGGGGACAAGTCTGTGTAGGCAGGCAGGATTTCTGCTGAAGAATTCAGCTGAGGTGTCTCTGCAGCGGCCACCATCCCGAACACTTCGCACCCTCACTCCCTGGCGGTAGAGTTCCCTCCTGAAATTGATCATTTCCTGCTCCCTGACATTGTTCACCACCCTGCCTTCATTTGTAGCTCTCCTTTTTGCCGCCAACCTCATCATCATGCGACGTATGTATCGATCCTGCCGTTGTTGAGGAAGGTTTCTTGAGGACTCAAACATAACCCCATTATCTGGAGGAATCATTGATCGACGGACTTCTGTCAGGGTTGTGCGGTATCTAAATCGCACTCCTCCAAAAGTTCCGAAAGAGCCATTATCCAGCGGCTTCAGGTCATACTTCTGAAAGTCTTGCTCTGATTTTATACTGTGATAGATCGAATTGAAGGGCTGTTTGCAGAGAGGACACTCCGCTTTATTCTTGGACCATTCATGAATACAGCGGAAGCAGAATTTGTGCAGGCAGAGGTCCAGGTAGGAAATGTTGTTAAACACATCCAAGCAGATAGGACACTTGGAGTCTGGTGACGCCTCTGCAGACATTGCTTCAGGGGTTTTCCTTCTGCTTCTTTTCTGGCGCTGCTGCAGGGCAACTTTGATAGCCGACATGATCTGTTATAAAACAAAAATATCAGATGTAAGTTAAGATCTATTAGGCTACTAAAAATATAACAAGATCCTTATCAGTTAAAAGTATTCATGCTGTGACAGGATTATGTCAAAAGTGCCATTGACCTCCCTACAAACAGATAAAGATTTCAGCATGGTGCTCAAGTAACCCAAGATCCCTACTGAAGGTTACAGTATCTATGTGTAATTCATGTTATTTACCAAAACAATGAATGTCAGACCATAATAAAGCTCACCGAATTTTAATCTTAACCTTTAGCGTTATGAAAGATCGTAAATCCAGGGTAACTTGCAACATTAAGACATACCACAAACAAATACAGTTGTGACAGAAGCACAACTTTTTCCTCACAAAGCCATAAACGAATTAAGTTATATGCATGTTGTCACAAAACCTTGGATTCCTTGTCCAAACAGGATTAAGACGATAAACAATACTGTGTCGACATTAAAGGGATATTCTGGCGTAAAATTAAATTAGGGTCAAAAACACCTTAACACTGAGTTACACACCCTGTCGAGAGATGAATGTTGCCGACCGCTTGCTTTTCTAGTTATACCAACTTTAGTAATGACCGCACGATAGCAATACACAGCCGCCTCAGGAGCCACACACAAACCTTGACCAAAAAGCCACTCTATAGCCACAAATAATGCTCAGAACAGCACCTAACTTCATCAACAGTACATATAGGGTCTCAGCCACAGCACTAGCCGCCAAATATCTTTTTAACTTAATTTCTTTAGCAAAGAGACTAAATACAACTCACTTACTCTCTTCCAGCAGCCGCTTGTTTATAGCGAGACCTCGGGCCAGTCCATTTTGGACTGCAGCGGGGTGAAGCAGCTCAAGGAAGAACATTTATGATCATTACATTATCATTTCCTTGAAGTAATTATCATCATATTACTAATTTTGCACTGCAGATTCGGTAGTTCTTCTGCCTTAGCGTCTCGGTCTGATTGCATTTCCATGAAGAAATGATCATAAATGTTCTTCCTTGACCTGCGTCACCCCACTGCAGTCCGTGATAGAGGTCTAAAGGTGCTAAAGAAATCAGGCAAAGTTAAAAAGATGTTTGGTGGCTAGTGCAATGGCTGGGACCCTATATGTACTGTTGATGAAGTTAGGTGCTGTTCTGAGCATTATTTGTGGCCATAGAGTGGCGTTGTGGTTAAGGTTTATTTATGGCTCCTCAGAGCGTTGTGTATTGCTATCCTGAGGTCGTTACTAAAGTTGCTATAACCAGAGAAACAAGCAGTCAGCAACATTCATCTCTCGAGGGGGTATCTAAGTCGGTGTTACGGGGTGTTTGACCCTAACTTAATTCTACGCCGGAATATCCCTTTGAGACGATAACCGATACTGCGCCGACAGTAAGTCTTATGTAGTGGAGCTATGACATATTCCTTCAGTGTTGTTTATTGGTGCAGTAAACTGTGGACTCTGGAAATAGCTTTCACATCCGTCACTCCTACTGCTCGTCTACCACTATTGAAAAACGGAGTATTCATTTGATCCATATTATGTATAATCCTTTCACCTCAACAGCACAGTTTTCTTCCGGACAGCTGAGCAGGTTGGGCTCGCGTCGTGTCTGCTGTTGTGTTTGTTACAACACGGCAGATCACCTCCCTGTCGATGGACAGTACATGTAATAGGTCGTATCTCAAATAAGGTCTGATATCACTTCTACGGCGCGCTAAATTACACGAACTGTAGCAACAAAGCACCCACATATTCGCTTCTATCGATAACGTACACTGTATTTAAGAAACATACGATGAGAAAAACTTGGAAAGCTAAAGCAAGCGAAGTAGCACAGTTAGCTAAAACGTTAGCTTCTAAGGATAGCTAACATACATGTAGCTAAGCTAATAAGTTAGCACCTATTTAGCTGGTAAAGACGCTCTTAGAAAAGTTGTTCATTTTACCTCTGACTTCCACAGACACACCTTAGGTTGGAAAGTGGTACGCTTACTCAGTCTCCCAAAAAATAATCATTGTATACGTTATATTCATAGCAACGTAAACTGTTTACTAAACCTACACACTGGCTCCGTACCGCTGCTTTCACAGTCACTCCGTGTTTTTTTAAAATTCATCTTACTTGCGATTTCCGGCGTTTCAAAATAAGAGCGATTTCTTTGAATAAACCACCAAGGAAGGAAGTGCTGATGCAAATACCTTACAACACATTTATATTATTGTAATCATATATGAGTTAAATTATGTTCTTTTGACTCAACCACATTTATGTGAATATTCTTGTAACACACCATTTTTGCACTTTAGTCAGCTGATGAATATTCTTTTCCAAAATTCAATCCGAAAGACAATAAACTGTATATGTACTTCTTCATGTGATTTGTCTCAGTGCTGTTGCCCTAGCTTTATGTTGAGCCTCTCCATGGTTGAATGTAGAGCAAACATCACTCAACTCTGGTGGTTCATGAAGGTTTGGCAATGAACATAAAAATCGTACATGCATGAGTATGATACCTATGGTATGAAATACAGAGATGAATGACCTTTACCCCAGCACCCACATTTCTCCAACTCCATGTTTGGGCTTTGATTTCACCATCTTTGAAAACCATTTTTTCAGCCTCTTTTTGAGATGTTCCATTTAAGACACTGTCCCTTTATCTAAAAAGCACTATACCACCTTTTAAAAATTTGAAGTAACTTATTGTTTTTTAACTTAATAGTCAGTCGTTCCTTTCTATTCTAAAGCAGCAAGTTCTGAAATCTGTAGCATGAGTTTGAAAAATGTAAATAATGTGGAAAACCATGTATGTAACGCCCATGTATTCTTGATTGCACTCATGCACTGTGTACAGCTTTTGAGGCATTTTTTAAAGTGGTTTGAATATTAAAGAACTTCAACAAGCAATGGCATTAAAAAGCAATGTAATTTAACATTTATGTTTTTCAAACCAATCTCGTTTTCTCATTTCAGTTGTTATCAATTTTACCATGTACTTTTTTTCAACTCACTCTTTCAAAGACAATATAAGCTGAATAACATTTGTAAAAGCAATAATAACCAGGAGGTGGACTTATTTCATTTATTGGCATATAGACATTTTTTACAAGAGAAGCACTAAAGCATTGAAATATTTCTGTTTTAGTGATGACCATGGCTCTCAGGGAGATCTGGAATAACTTCCCCGGTCTCAAGGATCGTGTCACCCTAAACACAATGAAAGACAAAAACTTCAAAATCTCCTTTACTGGAACAAAAAAGAAGCAACTCTTCAACACAGCAGGTGTTATTAAGTGAAATCACACACATGGACACTGATCTTGCTATACTTAAGTTAAGAAAGCTGGTATTTAGCATACAAGGGTATGGTAATTAAGAGTTTTTTTCAATTGAATGTCCAAGACAGGTACAAGACATGTAGGATTAGTCATACTTACTGGATATATATGGGGCTTTCTGTTCAAAATACCACATGGGGTAGTCTGTGGAGGAAAAGGACATGATTATTTAGTACGCCTTCTTATTAATAAGTGGGCACATTATTAAAATTTCCCTCCCAACTTCATAGAAGGAATCCCTTTCTTGGCTGTTATCCTACCAAGATGATTAACTCTAATGCTTTATCAAAGCTAATAATAAAGAAACAAAATTAATTACATAAGATCACATTCAAAAATAGTTTGATTTCATGTTCACTTACAGCCAGATGGTATTTCACAAAGTAGTGGATAACCCAGAGGGGTATCAACAGCTGGGTTAGTGTGGAGACTCCACCTCTGTATGCTTTGAAGGTCTGTAAAAAGATACACAATTAGAGGAAGCTTAGAATTGACAGAACAGAAGCGCTCATTACTTACACTGCTTATTCTCAGTGTTAAAACAGATGATGTATACTTCAACAAGTGGTGGGAAAGAAAATTATGCAAGAAATATAACTGCGTACTATGATAAAGTTAATGTTTTTCTTTTGAAAATAAAAATCAACCTAGTACAATGAACCACTGTGACTGTGGTGGATCATGATGTGGGTCCAAGCAACTCAAAGATTACAAAGGGAGACCAGGAAGTATCAATGATGCATTTTCACAATAACACATGAATAAAAAAACACAGATGCCATCATAACAGTCAAAACCTGATCAAAGCTGTTGATCTCCACCCTTTCTCCCTAATTTATAATAATAACTTTAATAATAATAATAATAATAATAATAATAATAATAAAAATATTTTTATAGCACTTTTAAAAACAGAAGTTTACAAAGTGCTTCAACAAATAGTCATAGAGCACAGAACATCAGCACAAGGAAATAAAAACAAAGAAAAAAAAAATTGCTCAGTTGAAAACAAGGCCTCCAAATTGAAGGCCAATCTCATTTTTCATAAGGACCCCAGGTAATACAAGAACCCTACAACATAAAATGAGACCATGAGGACCAAAATAAAAACATAAAATAGGTAAGAAAAAGAAATGTAACAAAAAAGGACAATAATAAAAAAATAATAATAATAATAATAATAATAAAATCAGGACAAAATAATAATCATGGTTATAGTAATGATAACTTGGAATCACAAAAATTAGCAGGAAAAAACAATAAAATTGGACTTTGTTTCACAACCATTGACTTGTCTTGATAAAAGGGGGCCATAGGTTATAGTTGTTTTCATCATCTATTCTTTCTAATTGCATCTGAAACATATAATTACAGTTAATCTTTCTAAAATAGTGCACAGTGGTATCATCTAAAAGGCCAAAGGGTAAAAATAAGACTGTTAAACGATAGTGGAGTGACACGCAGGCGTTATCATCGTAAACAAATTAACAAATTTCAAATATATATGGAGGAAACAGTGTTTGAAGGGATCTGTAGACTCTATTTGTCCAGATCTCACAGGTGTAGCTATAGTTTTCGGATCAGGACCATGTTTCTGAGTATAAACACTCACGTAAAGCCTCCACAGGCTCTTGGGCTGCAGGAAACCATTCCAGAACCTCTCGATGGCGCCCGGGGGTTTCGCTTTTATGACGGGTTCTCTCGGGCTGAGCTCTTGGTCCTTCAACCACTGTCTCCGGAGCGTAGCAAGCTGCTGAGCACGGAGCTTCTCGTCCGGTGTATACCCAGACATTTCTGGTATCTTTTAGTTCAACCTCAAAAACCCCACAATGACACTATGGAGGACACTTCTCAACAATCGGCCATGAAGTGCGTCAACAACGTAGATAAAGCGGAAACTGAATTCGGATAGACTAGCTCGGCAAATTGTTGAGCGACACCTAGCGGACCGGACATGTGTAACTATGTTTATTTGTTCCCTTTTTTTAAAAATTAAAAACAATAAAAAACAACCAATCTGGCAGCAAAAAAAAAAAAAAAAAAAAAAAAAAAACATCAGAGACTGTCGGAAGCAGTTTGATTTCCATCTGTATCAGGATTTTTTTTATATAAATAAGACTATTTAACACTAAATATTTCAAATGTTAAATGTTCTCTTCATAAAATTTTATTGCTAAAATGTTTTCCAGTCAGGGCGAACTTCTTAGTGGCAGCCATTATTTGAAAAGTCAGTTTATAAATGTTTGTATCCTTTACTGCCTGTGAAACAATGATGTACAGTATTCTAGCTGTGTCCAAACCGAAATCACCAATTAAAGGGATATTACGGCACAGAATTAATTTAGGGTCAAACACACCGTAACACCAAGTTAGACACCCCGTCGAGAGATGAATGTTGCCGACCGCTTGCTTCTTTAGTTATACCAACTTTAGTAATGACGGCACAATAGCAATACAGAGAGCCACGCACTCAACCAAAACGCCACTCTATAGCCACAAATAATGCTCAGAACAGCACCTAACTTCATCAACAGTACATATAGGGTCACAGCCGTAGTACTAGCCACCAAACAGCTTTTTAAATTTGCCTAATTTCTTCAGCAAAGAGACTAAACACAACTCACCTACTCTCTTCCAGCAGCCACTTGTTTGTGCAGAGACCTTAAGGCAAGTCCATCGACTGCAGCAGGGGGTCGAGCTCAAGAAAGAACATTTATGATCATTACTTCATGGAAGTCTCAGACCGAGATACTAAGGCAGAAGAACTCCTGTGTCTGCAGTGCAAAATGATTAATATGCTGATTATTACTTCAAGGAAATTATAAAGTGATGATCATAAATGGACTCGCTAAAGATATTAGGCAAAGCTAAAAAGATGTTTGGCGGCTGTGCTGTGGCTGGGACCCTGTATGTACTGTTTATGTTCTGAGCATTATTTGTGGCTATAGAGTGACGTTTTGGTTGAGCCCGTGGCTCTCTGTATTGCTGTCTGCAGTTCTTACTAAAGTTGGTATAACTAGAGAAGCAAGCGGTCGGCAACATTCATCTTTTGAGGGGGTGTCTAACTCTAGCCTGGCTGGGCCATCCAGGCTAGTCTAACTCGGTGTTGTGGTGTGTTTGACCCTAAATTAATTTTACGCCGGAATATCCCTTTAAGACCTTTAATCCTCATACAAGTCCTTTCAACCTTTGGTTAATTCAGAGTGGCAGCCAAACACCTTTACTTCTTCATCTCCTTTTGTTGGTGGTCATAATATTTGATTGTCAACCAGATCACTCCAGGGTGTTTGCTGTTTGAATGCTTTCAGCTCAGGTTTATCAAGATGACTAATGCCTGGAAAGGACAGATCACCTGCTTCTGGAAGAGCATTGTCAGAAAACTATGTCCTGAATAAAAGCACCTGCATTTGAAAACCATCCCTCAATGACATTGCTGAGAAGCTCATCAATGACACCAACATTTGTTTGAGACAATCCATTCACCAGCTTAACAAAGATAAGTACAGTTTTCTGCCTGCACCTTAGGCCAATGGCATGAATTCTTTTCAATGTACAACACTGACAAAAATCTGTTTCATAAAATTTAAAAAAAAGAAAACTAAGAGGATAACATAAAGGAACACCTAATGCAATTTGTAATTTTATGAATAGCTGCACAGACATGTTAAATGTGAGGATCCCCACAACACAGAAGAAAATATAAGTGTAGGATAATAGAGGGGTTAGATATATGAGGCAGACGGGGAGATACACTAGCTGTAGGACACAGCAGGTATGATTTGGGACTTTAGAATAGTCCCATATCGTGTTATATACTCCCTTACAGTAGGTGGCTACACAGCCCATCGATCTTCGAAACAGCGCATGCGTACACGAGGAAGAAGACGCAGTAGGAGAAGGAGAGGAAGAAGGGAAGTGGGTCTCATGAATAGCCCCCCTGCTCACAGCGCTATTGGTCACATGCAGCAGAATGGAAGAGGCTAGCACACTGAAGTGTAGGTTAGAGTCACACTAAGCCGTGTTGTCAGTGTGGATTTTTGTAAGCCTCTCGTATTTCATGAAGAGTGACTGCAGGTAAGTAGGACTTCTCTGGTTTCTTCGCTGCCTAATTAACGAACATGTCACTGAGCGAGCGTTAAGGCTAGCTAAACACGACCCGAGGTGACATGTTGACACAGTACAGCTCACTTCTTCTCATTCAGTCATGATGGACCTGTTTGTCTGTAAACGTGTTTTATCTCTCATCTACACTCTTACCAGTAGATAAGGTCTGTTTTATTAGTCATGTCTGCCCGTTTTGACAAGCTGTCTACAGTGTGTTTATTTAGCTTTCGAGGAAAATGCTGAGGTCAAAAGTCAGTTGAGTTTACACTGAGAAAGAAAGAGTAACAACATGACACTACATAATATCCAACTAGTTATTACTGGGAATGTGCGGTATCTGTGAAGAAATACAGAGGAAATTCATGCAGCTTTATTATGGTCTGTTATTTTAATGTACAGTCAGGGGAGGAAAAAGCTCTAACATATGTCACAACTCAAAAGACGACAGTGTATGACTGTAGAGCTACATGAATAACAGTTTGAGACTATACTTTATATATTTGTAATTTACTTTAAAGGGATATTCTGGCATAAAATTAATTAAGGGTCAAACACATTGTAACACTGAGTTAGACATCCCCTCGGGAGATGAATGTTGCCAACTGCTTGCTTCTCTAGTTATACCAACTTGAGTAACGACCGCACAATAGCAATACACAGTGGTCTGAGGAGCCATAAACAAACCTCAACCATAACAGCACTCTATAGCTACAGATAATGCTCAGAACAGCACCTAACTTCATCAACAGTACATATAGGGTCCCTTCCATGGTACTAGCCACCAAACATCTTTTTAGCTTTGCCTAATTTCTTTAGCAAAGAGACTAAACACAACTTACCCACTCTTTTCCAGCAGCCGCTCGTTTGTAGTGAGACCTCAGGCCTATAGCGGGGTGACGCAGCTCAAGGAAAAACATTGATGATCATTACTTTATCATTTCCTTGAAGTAATAATCACCATATTAATAATTTTGTACTGCAGACACTTCTATTCTTCTACCTTAGCATCTCGGTCTGAATGCATTTCCATGAAGAAATGATCATAAATGTTCTTCCTTGAGCTGCGTCATGCCGCTGCAGTCCATGATGGACTGGTCCGAGGTCTCAGTACAAACAAGCGGCTGCTGGAAGAGAGACGGTGAGTTGTGTTTAGTCTCTTTGCTAAAGAAATCAGGCAAAGTTGAAAAGATGTTTGGTGGCTAGTAGTATGGCTGGGACCCTATATGTACTGTTGACAAAGTTAGGTGCTGTTCTGAACATTATTTGTGGCTATAAAGTGGTGTTTTCATTGAGGTTTGTTTATGGCTCCGTAGACTGCTGTGTATTGCTTTCATATGATGGTTACTAAAGTTGTTATAGCTAGAGAAGTAAGTAACTTAGTAACTTAATTTTACGCCGGAATATCCCTTTAACTCTTATTTTCCCATCTGCAGGACTTTGCCAGATTTTGGATGGAGTCAGCGCCCAAGATTTTACTGACTTGTGTTGTCACAGCAAGGTGTCTCTGGGTTGAGGATTCATGCCGTCCCGTGCACAAAGAAGCAAAGAATGGTCAAATATTTCTCTAATAGCACAGACATCAAGAGTACCTGGGACCATGTTGTCTCTGCTTTCTGGCAGAGGTACCCAAACCCGTTCAGGTATGATGATATTTTTATTTGTCTTTTTTTTTTTGTTTACTTATAAGTTCTTCATGAGAGTCAAATTCAACCAAAAGAAGTTGTATTTGTTGTTCTGTGTGGAAAATTTAAAATGTTCCTGCTATCATACCAACTCAGCTTTGTGTGGATGTAAGTGAACAAAAGAGACCCACACTAGACGACATAAAAAATTCAGTAAATGATTTTTATTTGTTTATTCCCAGGCTTCAGTTATTGACAATCTAACCTTATAAAGGTTGTGAAGTTTGAACTAACTAATTCAAATTTTTCTATTATAGTAGATTCCCAAAGTCTTAGGATGAAGTGAAGTTAATGCAGAGTTTTCAGGACCACAGGAATCTTTTTCTAATGATTTAAAACCAGCCGTGTAGAGCACAGTGCAGGTTGAATACTGCTACACAGTTTAGGCTTTGTCTGCACTGGTTCGCATTTGAGAACCCACAGCTATAAGAGTAATTAGTTATGATACAAAACTGGTTGAACGCGTCAAAGAATGAAATATAAGTAGTGATACACTCCAGAAATCACACACAATATTCAATCTGATTCAGTAAAGACATGGTGGTGTTTAAAACTGTACTGAAACTGTTCACAAATGGATCTGAAACCTGAAAGTGAGAGCGTTTTTACTTCTAGATCTTTTCAAATCCATCTTGAAAATGACACTCTCATTTTCACATAAAGTTTTACACACTTGTTGTTTGGTCTAATTAATCATAATATTCACAGCAGCCAAAATAGCATCTGGTGATATAAACTGCATTAAAATCTTTGGCCCCCTTGTTGCAGAAACTGAATCTTACAGTTCATCCTTCAGTTGGTTAAAATCATGAGGTTATCATACAGTAAGGTGCACAGAAAGGGCAAACGTAAAAGCTGCGGACTGACTCGGCTGATGTTAATATCTCTGCTGTATGATCAGCTGTAAGTTCCTGCCATTTGAAATTAAAACGTCAAAGACTTAAATCAGGTTAAAATTTCTACCTGAAATTTTTTAAATCGTGAACTTTTAGAAGTCACCGCTAACTTTTCATTCCTGTGTTTATATGTCAATCAGCACCCATGTTCTCACAGAGGACGTTGTGTATCGGGAGGTGACTGCGGACCATCGGCTCTTCTCCAGACGCCTCCTGATGAAGACCAATCGTCTGCCTCGCTGGGCAGAGCATATCTTTCCCTCCGGCATGTCTCGCTCTGTGTACATCGTCGAGGACTCCATCGTAGACCCCATCAACAGAAGCCTGACCACCTTCACCTGGAACCTCAACCACACGACTCTCATGGTGAATGCCTTTAATTTCTTGAAAAACAGTAGTGCTGAATAAGTTGTCCAGTATATTTGTTGGCTTAATTCAGAGCCTCCTGTGGTCATGTACCTGTCCAGCCCACAATTTTAATGGTTTGTTTACTATCAATGTGTTAACAACTTCACAATGTTACCATTATAAACAAAAAGTGCTCACACAATACACCAAAACTTGAAGACACAAAGCAGAAAAGACACAATAAAAGAGGACATTTTAAAATCATTAGTACAATCTGTCAAAATTAAGGACAAAGATAAAATAAAAAAGCAAAAACAGATGGGTCTAAATGTCAGTGACATTAGAACGGAAGATTAAAGGGATATTCTGGCGTAAAATTAATTTAGGGTCAAACAGATTGAAACACCGAGTTAGAAACCCCCTTGAGTGATGAATGTTTCTGACTGCTTGCTTCTCTAGTTATACCAACTTTAACCTCAACCAAAAAGCCACTCTTCAGCCACAGATAATGCTCAGAACAGCAGCTAACTTCATCAACAGTACATACAGGGTCCCAGCCATAGTACTAGCTACCAAACATCTTTTTAGCTTTGCTGGATTTCTTTAGCAAAGAGACTAAACACAACTCACCTACTCTCTTCCAGCAGCCGCTTGTTTGTACAGAGACCTCAGGCCAGTCCATTATTAATTAATTTTACACCGGAATATCCCTTTAGAGTTACATGGTTGGTTAAAATATGTGTTTTATAAGAGTTTGATAAAAGAGAGCTACAAATAAGTGACTCTTGACTGAGCAGACACTTCCATCCAAAGTGATGTTCATTCCTGAATTAGCAGTAGCTTTGAAACGTAATCAAACAGAGAGATCAACTCTGATTTAGTTTTAACTTTATTAAAAGGATCAGGACCATCCAATGTGGAGGAATTTATTTATTTTTTTTTTAAACGGCTCTGAGAACCTTTTGTGACATAAATGATCCATTTGTTTTTCTGCCCGTTCCTGACCTGCTTTTCAAATCAACCCTCAGCCTTGACCCCTGTGTTAACCTCTCTGTCACTTTGCTCTCTTTCATGTCAGTCGGTTGAAGAGCGTTGTGTTTTCCAAGACTCACAGGAGCAGCCGGCCACCACCCAGCTGAAACGGGAGGCATGGATATCTTCAAATGTTTATGGCTTCTCCAGACCCATCCAGGTACTTTGGTTTCCTGCAGCAGTTACCTAAGCTAAAGTCTGAACATTTTAAACCCCTCTGTTAGTCTATTAGGAGTGCACCGATCACAATTTTCTGGCCGATCACCGATCTTTAAAAAGCTTGACCTGCCGATACCGATTTTGGCCGATACCTTTTTTTTTTTTTTTTATAACTGACGACATACACCTTTGATGCCCCAATCTTATTTTAATGAAAAACATTCAACAATACTTGTGGAACAATACAAACCTTTTTGTGTTTGTTTGAACTGCACTTGATGTCGTTCTCTTAAATATAAATGAAAAGTTTAGAATATCGCTGTCCAAACTACTAAATTATATCAGTTCCTTTAGTCTTTTATTTTCCACATTGATCACACTGCAGGCCTGTTTTGAGCCTCTCACCAAAATAAAGTGCACAGCAGCATTTTGCTTTTACAAATAAAGGAAATCACAAGGTTTGAGGAAGTTAGTAAAATAAAAATCGACAGGACAAACTAAACTGTTGGGCGGGCCTGTCATTCTGGCAAAAGCAAAAAGCTACAACGGCTGACTTTTAGACCTTTGCTGAGGTAGATAAGATCGGTAAATAAAATCTGTGGTTTTATGTGTAAGGATCAGCTGATCACCGATCCCCCGAAATTAAGGAAATCGGCGCATGTTTAGTCTCTATCATTTGCATCTTTGTTTTTTGGCAGAGAAAGGCCTATTCTGCTCCGGTCTAACTCCTCGTATTTTCTTATCTGGGTTTGTAGCGTGCAGAATCTGATTTTTGAGGCTTCATCTGGATTTTTTAGGTCATAGTAGAAGCAGCAGTGGCAGGGGAGGTGGTGTGTTAATGCCAAAATAAAGAAGTGGGGGATTTAAGGGAGGAAGTGAAAATTGTGCCCAACACGTGAGAACCTAAAATTGTCATTATTAAATGCCAGGCTTGCTTTAATATCCCCAGAGGAAAGAAAGAGCGTGTTAAGCCCAGTTTAGGCGTCTTCTCCTCACGTAAAGCCATTGCTGAATTGTCTGTTTTTCTCCCTAGGAGTTTGGATTGGCTCGCTTCAAGAGCAACCAGGTGAAGGCCATGAAAGGGCTGGAATACGCTCTCTCCAACCTACAGGGTATGTACACATAACCAGTGAGAGCAGGTGACAGTGCAAGAGAGAAAGAGAAAATAGAGTTACATGTTTCCAAATGTGGAAATGAGAAAAAGCCATGATCATCATCGCACACCCACAAAGACAGAACACCACTCAGAGGAGAAGCACCTCAGGCTAATGACAGACACTGATTGTAAAATATGGACTTTCAGAACAAACTGATGAAAATCTGCCAAAGTTCTGCAACTTACTGCCGTCTTTTCTAATTATTGATTAATCTATTGATCAGGTGTTGACTCAGCTGGCTATGCAGAGTGTGTGTCTGTGTAGAGGATGATCCTCGGAGGAGCGATCCTGAGTTTGTTTCCCATCCTTAGTCTTTCACCGTGTCATTCCCTTATCGTCCTCTTTGCCTGAGAATGACTCTTCACACTATCTTTTCATATCAAAAAAGGCATTAAAAAAATAATAATAAAAATAATCATCTTTAAAAACAATAGAAGGTAACCTGATGATTATTTTCTGAAATTCACGGACAAATTCCTCTGTCCAAGATGCTCCTGCGGAAACTTCAGGAACTGAAATGTCTCTTTTTGTTAAAAAAAAAGATATTTCATTTTATGTTTACGAGACTAATTCATCTTGAAAACATTCAAATTTGAGAAGAAAATTGGATGTTTTATTTTTGATCGGCTACTCAGTCCTCATTAGAGTTCAGACACCTCAAGAAAACACAAAACCTTGAAGTTTAAGAAGTTTCTCTGTTGACTAAAAGGACGTTTTCCCGTTGTTGTGATTCTGCCCTATTGCCTCTGTTTTACTGCCACTGCAGGGATTGGCATCAGGCTGAGCGTTGTGGTGAGTATGTTAGCCAAAAGGGTTCATCTGCCATCCCAGGCCTTGACCAGGGTTGGTCACATGATCCCTTATATGAGCGTCACACAGTTGACGGTGTAGCTGAGGTAGTAAGGTAGAGGCTGTGTCCCCCTCTGTGTTGTTGTGAGAGCAGATGGTCACCACAAGTGGCTGTGACTCAAGCGTGAATGTTGTTAGTGTGTAGTTCATAGTTTAGTTGACTGAAACTATCTCTGCAGTATTGACCTTTTAACAGAGGATATCTAGTTAAAGCAAATGTTGTGAGGTGGAGCAGCTGTAGAGCAAATAAAAACAGTCAGCTGAAGTCAAGAAAACTGCCATTGACTTTATTTTGGTGGCTTTTTTTGTTGTTGTTATAAAATCACTTTAGGGGACATTCATTTTGATATCATTTGTAATTGACATCTTTATTATTGATTTGGATGCTAGCAGAGCTTAAAGGGATATTCCGGCGTAAAATTAATTTAGGGTCAAACACACCATAACACTGAGTTAGACACCCCCTCTAGAGATGAATGTTGTTGACCGCTTGCTTCTCTAGTTATACCGACTTTAGTAACGGCCGCACGGTAGCAATACACAGCTGTCTAAGGAGCCATAAACAAACCTCAACCAAAACGCCACTCTATAGCCACAAATAATGCTCAGAACAGCACCTAACTTCATCAACAGCACATATAGGGTCCAAGCCAGAGTACTAGCCATCAAACATCTTTTTAACTTTGCCTGATTTCTTTAGCAAAGAGACTAAACACAACTCACCTACTCTCTTCCAGCAATTGCTTGTTTGTCGCAAGACCTCGGGCCAGTCCATTATGGACTACAGCTGGGTTACGCAGCTCAAGGAAGAACATTTATGATAATTTCTTTATCATTTCCTTGAAGTAGTAATCATAATATCATCATAATCACCGATCATTTTTCACTGCAGATGAGGAAGTTCCTCTGCCTTAGCGTTTCAGTCTGATCGCATTTCCATGAGGAAATGATCAAAAATGTTCTTCCTTGAGCTGTGTCACCCCACTGCTGTACTGTTGATGAAGTTAGGTGCTGTTCTGAGCATTATTTGTGGCTATAGAGTGGCGTTTTGGTTGAGGTTTGTTTGTGGCTCCTCAGACCGCTGTGTATTGCTGTCTGCTGTTGTTACTAAAGTTGGTATAACTAGAGAAGCAAGCGGTTGGCAACATTCATCCCTCTTAATATCCCTTTAACACAGTTTAAGGAGACCTTTGTGGATATGAACATATACATTCTTCTGGGTTTTGTCATTGTATGGCAGAATAAACAATGAAAGTCCGTTGAAGTGGTTGAATTCTTACTCAGTAACCTGTGCTCAGGGCTGTATTTCACAAAAGATTTCAAATATGGAATCCTAAGAAAACTCAGCAAATAAAACAGCCCACTTTTCAAATCATCCCAGACACACCTGCAGAGTCACAATCTGACACACAAACTAAAAACAGTCTGCAGAAATGTCCATAAATGTCCAGCAAGAGGAGCAGTTGTGAGTTTGTGTGTGAATTGGCCACAAATATAGGTCATGGTAAGACTATGTTTAATCATGGTGTTTTTCTGCCTTTGAATAGTGTTACAAAAAATTCTCGGAAACAGCTCATGAGAAATGACTTTGAAACAGGATGATCTGTGTCTGTAAATCTGTCTCCTGCAGTCATCTGTGCAATAATGGGCACCTGGACCTGCACTTATATTTCATACACAATTTTAAGGCACTTAAACCTTCAGTAAATCAGACCCTTAAGTTGGCCTGAGAAGATATCCAGCATTTTTGGCTTTAAAAGAATTAAACTGTCATTTTATTATTATTATTTTTCCTGTTTCGTGCCGTATTTAATCTTCTCTGATTGGAAAAAAGAACATTGTGCAGAGCAGTGATCGTAAACACAGCACACAGTGTATCTCCAGTGTACCTTCTAGACTTGATTTCTATTCAGACACCGCACTCGTCTCATTTAAAGTATTTTGAACATTCAGCTCGGCAGCATTCCTCTGATCTCTTGCTGTGAATAAATTGTCAGTTAATTACTGCTATCATCAACTCCTAGCAGGACCTGAAGTCAAGGCTGATGCAAAAATATGAAACATGTTCACTGAAGATTCCAGAGAAGGTGGTACACTGTCTCGTATTTCTCTTTCAGTTTAAGTGAATGTGATGCACCTGTAATTTGACAGAATCATGGCAACACCGACTCTCACATCACCCTAATAAATAAATGCTTAAGATCATTAAACCTGCGAGGAGAGATTTCAACTGTACTTTTCAGCCTTCATAATTCCTGACTTAACTCATTCGTATTATTTTCAGTCTCCAAACAAGGAGAGGTTTGTCCCTCAGCTTTCATGCAGCCACTGTCCCGGGATCAGCGTTCTTCGTTTGTCTAAAAGCCCTGAAATGTGAGGGAAACACTCCCTCTGTCGCTCTCACATTTCAGGAAAAACTGCTCTGCTGCACTGTGATCCTCCTTGTTGTCTTCACATGAGGTTCTCTGACTCTGTAGGTTCACGGTGAGGTCAGACGCAAATAGATTCTGCAGGGAGTTCATAACGGTGAACAAAGATGGGTGTGCTCACCACAAGGCTTGATCAAAAACATTTTCTGTGTTTGGTGAAGGGATCGTGCTGAACGGGGTTTTTAGAGACTCAGCCTCTCTGAAATGTCCTTTTTATACCCCTAACCTATCGCAGACATCCTAAATGTCCCTATCTCAGCTGTTTTGAAGTGTATTGCTAACATCAATCAAACAAAGAGCAGATATTGCTCATAAATGAATTCATTTTGATGTATTTCCTTCGCTCCATTTTCCATACTGTTAGAATTGGAGGTGTAGCTTTTGTTTTGAATATTCACTGCGATCACAGAAGAAGTTTGACTGAATTGTGCCTTTCAAAGTCAATGAAGAAGACTTAAAAATAAATGAAAATTACCATCGGGTGTCTGTCACACACTTGTCATTATTGGAGCCTTCAGAAGTGACGTACTATGTGTAGTTGCATGGTCTCAACGCTGCCCTCTGGCTGCAGTGTGCTGTCTGTGGAGGTTCATTTTCCTGAATTTCTAGTGATGCCATAAGACCTATTTGTCATCTTTGTCTTAATTTGTATACATTGTCTTCAGCTTTTATTATTTTTAATCTCTCCTGTCTTTCTGTGTGTCTGTGGGCTCACAGGAGAGGCGCCCCAGCGGCCACTCAGGGACTCAGTGAAAGACGCTTCAGAGAAGGCCAAGGAGGCGGCGAAGAGCCTGGCCTCTGCTGCTGCTGCCGCCCCGCAGAAACCCCAGCAGTACGTCTGACACCGCTGCTCTGTAGACGGAGCTGAGCAGGTGACATGAACTCAACACGATGCCTTCACAATCATCTCGATCACCTGGACTTGGCTGAAGTGTTCTGGGATCACGCTGACGGCTGTTTATTTGCTTTTTTAAACTGCGATATTTATTGAACTGAAATCAGAAGAATCTTTTTATTTCTCAGACGTCTGTCTACTTTCTCTCAGCTTTTATGAGTGCTCAGGCTCTTAGTCTGAATATAAATAATGTTTTGACTTGATCAGCAGCACACTTAAAAGCATGAGTGCATATATGTGAGTGTTGCCACATAAATTTAACTTATATCTCTATTTTCACTAAGTAAGCTTATTTTTATGCAGAATTTAAATTCTTCTTGGACAGCTTATTATTTGGACTTTAATCAAAAACTGGGATATGCAGTGATTATATGATAACTCTTTACATGTTGATTTAGTGCAAAGGTCATATCAGACCAAATAGCTGAGCTGTACCTGTTACGGTTTACTTTCAACCGAAGAAACTTCATGTTAGAACTGCTACTTTTGGTTTATGCAGAAGCGACAGATTTCACACCACCAGGTAGAAGCCAGTCCGACAGGTCCTGTCTGGCCTCTTGCTCATTCTTTCTCTCCATCAAAGTCATCTTCGCTCTTTTCCCTCTGCATGACGTCCTCAATGAGAGTACCAAGCTAAAACCAGAACTTTCTGCCAGAGAGACTTTGCTGTGATATCAGACCCCATGAACACCATAACTCAACCTCAGTTACACAGGAACAGGTATTTGGGCTCTGGGGTGGGAGTAAAATGACTTAAAAGCTGGGTTTGATTTAAAGGGATATTCCGGCATAAAATTAATTTAGGGTCAAACACACAGTAACACCGAGTTAGACACCCCATTGAGAGATGAATGTTGTTGACTGCTTGCTTCTCTAGTTATACCAACTTTAGTAACGACCACACGATAGCAATACACAGCGGTCTGAGGAGCCATAAACAAACCTCAACCAAAATGCCACAAATAATGCTCAGAACAGCACCTAACTTCATCAACAGTACATATAGGGTCTCAGCCATAGTACTAGCCACCAAACATCTTTTTAACTTTGCCTAATTTCTTTAGCAAAGAGACTAAACACAACTCACCCACTCTCTTCCAGCAGCCGCTTGTTTGTAGCAAGACCTCAGGCCAGTCCATTACAGACTGCAGCGGGGTGACGCAGCTCAAGGAAGAACATTTATGATCATTTCTTCATGGAAATGCAATCAGACCGAGATGCTAAGGTAGAAGAACGACCGCATCTGCAGTGCAGAATGATTAATACAGTGATTATTACTTCAAGGAAATGATAAAGAAATGATCATAAATGTTCTTCCTTGAGCTGCGTCACCCCGCTGCAGTCCAAACAAGCGGCTGCTGGAAGAGAGTAGGTGAGTTGTGTTTAGTCTCTTTGCTAAAGAAATCAGGCAAAGCTAAAAAGATGTTTGATGGCTAGTGCTGTGGCTGGGACCTTTTATGTACTGTTGATGAAGTTAGGTGCTGTTCTGAGCATTATTTGTGGTTATAGAGTGGAGTTTTGGTTGAGCGTGTGGCTCCTAAGACTGTTGTGTATCACTATCCTGCGGTCGTTATTTAAGTTGGTGTAACTAGAGAAGCAAGCGGTCGGCAACATTCATCTCTCGAGTATGAGTCTAACTCTGTGTTATGGTGTGTTTGACCCTAACTTAATTTAACACCGGAATATCCCTTTAAGAGTTGCATAATATTGTATCAAAAGACAGAACTGCATGGTTTCACATGCATGCAGTGAAAAAACTGAATCTTATGTAATATCCATTTACTCATCATTTCTGTCTTAGTTTTTCTCCAGGGTGGAGACGGTTGTTAGATACGTTGGCATTTTCTACAAACAACAATACGCACAAAAATAGAAAATGTAGCCACAATGCTACTAATGGCTGACCGCCAGCATGACCTGTACTCATGTGTTGATAATCTCAATAAACCAAAGTGACTTATAACTCAAATAAGTCAAATACAGAAACTCTGACGATGACGAGCCTGTAACAGTTCTGCTGTAGCCGAGCATCCGGAGTAACACTAGTCTAGATCATCAATCTGCCTGTTGATATGAAGCTGTGATATGAAGATGTTGTTATTGTTGTAAACATTTCAGTGAATGCATTCCTTTTGAAGACGGAACCGTCTGGATTATTTTGCTTCAAGACTTGAATTATAGTTAGAAGATGATTCATATGATGTATTTAAAAATGATTTACTGTTGAGCATTTGTATGATGAGGTTGGGTTTTAATGAGGTAGTGGTAGCATGTTGAAAAAAAAAGGGTTTAAAAGCTGATTCCTTTGGATTTGTATTGAAAAGGTAAACAGATTTCGCATCTTGCATCTCCAACTGAGACCTCAAATCAAAGTTTTGTTTTGTGTTTTGAAGATCAGCTTTAATAAAATGTTGTAAACTACTCATTTAAATTCGTGCTGTTGTGTGTTTCATTATTAAGCGTTCCTCTGCTCTAACTCTTGACAAACTTTGACCTTTAACTAACGACGATTCCAGCCTACAGCTCAGTTTCACAGCTGCACAAACCAAACAGGAAGCCCTGTGACATCTGAACACGTTTATCACGTATTCCTGCTGCTGCTCTGTGCTGTTGAAGATACAACCTCTGAGCTTAAGAGTCAAAAATGAAACAGCAGGAACTTTTATGTATAAAACATTTTAATTATATTACAATAAGAGAATACACAATACCTTCAAGTGTTTGCTCAAATGTAGCCAGCACCAGGTACTCGTGTACGCACGCTCACACGCACAAAACAAAAAAAAAGGAATTTATATAACATCTTCTGAATGCATATTACACATCTGCTAAAAAGGAACATATTCACAGGTCTCTGGCACAGAACTCTCCCTACTCAGCACAGTATGTCAGCCCACACAAAGCCCCCCCCCACCGTCCTCCTCTTAAATACTAAATCCCGGCCAGCTCGCCCTCCTCTGCAGCCTCAAGGTTTGAAGGAAAACAACTCGACACCCCTCTTTGACTTTAGAGTGTCAATCCAAACATAAAGATACAGAAAAACAAAAAAAAACAACAAAAAAGAAACGGTGGGATCTGGAAAGCGGGATTCTGACCAACAAAAATTAAAGCTATTCGTCTGGAATTACACGGAGACGCTAATCATTCAGCACGGAAAGGTAAAAAGTGACTTTATTTGGCAGGAATAATAGTTCATGTAAGTTTTTGTGTTGATTTTCTTGAGCACCGTTAGTAAGCAGGCAGAGGATGGCGTCTTCTACTTTCATCTGTGTGCTCAGCCTTGACCCCGCGTCCTCAAGCCGCAGCTTCACCCTGTTTTTCAACCAACCACCCGCCTTCTCCTTCTCCACCTCCGCCTGCTGACTTCTCCAAACACCACACGGTGCTTTTGTGCTCTTACAAAAAAAAAAACCAACACTCTGAAGTAAATCTCTGTGCAACGGCAACATGAAAGCAAATATCAAACTTTGTCTGTACTCGCTCTGAAGTCAACCTCTTTTTAATCTGAGCTCCCGTCTCTGTGATGACTCTTAAATTACGCTTTGATCTCAGCTCAGCGAAGAGCCCTCTCAGCTCCTTGACATGAATGTTTACCTTTTGCAAAAAGAAGAAGGAGGCGGTAACATCTTCAGCTCCTTCTCGGAGGGATTTTACAAAATAAGCGCTCAGGAGGCTGATTGAACAGTCTGGATTAATTGGTACAATCTCTGCTTCGTTTTTTAAGAAAATAACTTTTTCCAAGGCACATCATCAAAAGAATTTCCATAAAACACCGTCCGTCCTGCGCTCAAACTTAATGTTTCCAGTCCGATTCCTCTAAAATCACTCAGTCTGAGTGAGAGTGTGCTATGTTCATTTTTCAACGATGTCACTGAAAAATTATAATCTCATATCTGGCCCTCAGCTCATCCCATTAACTCGGTCGCCTCTCAACCGGGAGGTTCTGTGCAAGAGAATAACTTTATGCCATCAATGTGGTTTACCAAAAGTTGTTCATCTGACCAACAAACTGAAAAAGGACATTTTTGCTACAAACAGTCATGTACAAATCTTTTTGACATGAATGTAAACTCTCAATGACAAGAAGAATAAAAACAGCTTTTTTTTTTTTTTTCTCACAAAAAAAAAAAAAGGGAAAAAAAAAATCTCGTTAGTTTGTTTTGCCCTCCTGCAGTTTTTTTTTGGAGAGAGTGCAGATAGGAGGCAAATTTCATCAAAACAAAATAGAAAGAGTTGGTCACCAAAAATGCACCACAGAGTCAAGAGCAAGAACAAAACAAAAAAAACAAAAACAAACACCTGCTTGTCTTAAAATCCCTGCCCGCCCTCCCCCTCCCTCAGAAAGCACAAGATGGTAATATTGCTGTGTCTCAGAAGGTCCCCTGATTTATGGGTAACACTATTTTTTAAGGGACCACCAGGAGTGCGGAGGATAACACCTTAAGCTGCCATTGATTGGATTATTCTTTTATCGCTCCTCTCCCAGTGACTCCCGTTGAACAAAAAAAAACAAAGTCAACATACAAGAAAAGAAAAAAAAAAAAGTATTAATACGCTTCAAGCCCAGAAGATTTTCAGCCCTGTTGGTGACCACTCAGGGCGACTGGAAGCTGCCATGGGAGTTAACCAGTGTGTTTTTTTTCTTTACAATTTTTCCGTGACAGAGGCGGCACTGGCAGACGAGCGGGCGACGAGAAGGCGGGGAGCGCCTGGGCGAGGATCTGCAGCAACAGCGGCTTTTTCAGTAGAGACCAAAGGGGCTCCTTCCTCTTCTTCTTCTTCTTCTTTTCTTTTTGATTATGATCTCGTATGAAGTCTTCTCCTCAGGTCCCCCTGTGTTTTGGCATAGTTTCAGCCCCGCCGGAGGACAAGCTGAGGGGAGGATGAGATTAACAGGAGGAGGGGGTGTGTGTGTGTGACCTGAGTAGGGACGAGGGGTGAGGAGGTGAGGGAGAGGGAGAGGAGGGAAGTCGAAGGCTCACCAAGGCACAGAATGACAGCAGGAGAGTCACCCATGGGAGAGGGGCCAGTGTATCAGCTCCCCTGCCCCCACTCTCCTTTCAACAAGCCTGGCCTCATGTCTGTCTGTCTTTATATTCATATATATTTATATGTTTATATTTATATATAGAGATAGATAATCACTCTTTTTTGTCTTTTCATTACAAGAGAACATTTAGGAAAATATAATACAAAATTTGATACAAGAAATATAGACTACACTGGGTAGTATCACTGTAAGTGACGAGTAGCTTTTTTTGTATGCAAGTTTTTCATCATTTTTTCATCGTTTGTACTTTTTTTTTTTGGTCAGACCGGCCATGTTGGACTGGCCCAAGTTTTAAGTGTTCGGACGCCGAGCTCTAAAGACTGCTGCAGACTGAGGCAAAAATGAATCCTAACAGGTCAGAGAGCGACAGAAGCGCCTCCTCCGTCAATTGTCACTATTGTGCATAAGTTACAGACAAAGAGAAAGATCAAGATGAACCACGTCGGTCTGCAGCGGCGCCCAGGAGCTCCAAGAGAAAAGCAAGAAGCCGTGTTACAGGAATGAGAAGTTGGAACTGAATGTGATTAGTTTGCTAAGTTAGCTAACATGAACACCTCTACAGAGATCAATTCATTAGAGCTGGCTGTTTTTTTTTTTCTTTTCTTTTCATATTTTTCCTCACATGAGCAGCTTTGACTTGTTAACCAGAGCAGAAACACAAACACAAACACGCATCATTCAGCGCTACTTTAAAAAGTCACAGAGCTGTAGAGATAAAAGTCTTCTGAGAGCTCAAGTGGAGCATCCATCAGAAATTTTTTAAAAAGACGGAAAATAAACTTTTTTTTTCTCCTGCAGGTCCATCCTCTTTAAGCACCCAGTCACCCACTTGGTCCACCAGAGTCTTTTGAACACTCAGGGGGAGAACCCCACTCTCAGATTTATTGCTACATCAATTCGCTACTGAGGAGGAAAACACAAGATTTTCACCAATCTTTCAGGAATAGAGTTTTAATTCTGAGGCAACTCCTTTTGTTTTTTGTTCGTCATAGTAGTCCATCCACACCATGAGGCTGTCTAGTGTAGTGGTCAGTAGTGTGGAGTAGTGGTTAGGTGACCCAACCAGAGGGAGACATGAGGGTTCGGACAGTAACTGTACATCTATATACATGCTCCGTTTGTTTCTGCTACAGCTCTGCGACTTTTTCCAGCGCGGGAGCAGCTTTCGGCACCGATCCGACGAGAGGAATTTACAGAGAAAAAGGTATTTACATTTTAGGAAAGTTGGATAAAAGGATTGATATCACCCTCACATCTGTCTGCGAGTGACGAAACCAGCAGTTGACGGCTTAGCTGAGCATAAAGAGTGGAAGCAGGGTCAAACAGCTTGCCTTGCCGGCACCTTAAAAGCTCCGACCTGTTTGTTCTATTCAGACACGAATCAAGTATTAAAAACGATCAACGAGGCTTCATCTGCACGTGTGTATCCTCTCAGGTTAAAAACACACGGTGTAACAAACTCAAAGTTGTGCTTTCGATGTGCGGTGAAGTGTTTTAAGGGTACGGTACCACATCGTGTCTATCTTAATGTGAAAACAGAAGATACTGCGTGAATTTCAAAACTTTCAAGGTCTTGGTGCCGAAGTGAATTAGTCTTCTTTGACGCTCCTTAGTCTGGTCTTTCTCTCACTCACACTCACACTTTAGAAACACACACACTCCTTAAATCCTGATCAACAAGTCAAAGCCGTCCACTACACCACAGAAGTCTCCTTTAAAACCACAAATTCTGCTCTGCTCTCTCGGAGCCTGCGGCAACACTAGGTTGGGGTTGTAAGGAGGGCAGTGGGAGGGCAGGGCGTGTGAGGAGAGGCAGGTTCAGGCAGGATACATGTAGGGTGAGGTAGGGTCAGTGGTTGGGGGTGTCAGGAAGCCTTGAGTGGCATTTCAGCCCCCGTTCGCTTCCTGAAGAGCCACGACAAGGACAGGAGGAACAGGTTTTAGGGTGTACCGCCTTTATGGGGCTGGTCTGATGTAGGTCGAAGGCGGTCTTGGCATTTTTTTGGAAATGGCTGAGGGAAGGTGGATGGGTGAGCGTGAGAAAAGGACGCTGGCTGGTAGATGGATGGCCGCGCGGTGTCTAACAGTGGTGCGGCTGCAGTCTGTGGGAATGTGTGGCCGTGTAGCTGGTGTCGCTGGAACTGCTCTGGAGGCTGTAGTGGTCCTCCTCGCCGTCGCTGATGCTGTCCACGCTGTCTGCCTCACCGGGGGTGAACTCCATCCCCTCAATGTCCACCTCTGCACGTAAAAAAAGAAACGACACAAGGTTAGGGGGGAACTCTTTACTTCCATCAGACCACGGGGGAATATTTATTAGGGAGCCTGCTGCTCCGCTAGTGGATTAAACCAGGATTTAAGCTCCCGTTAACTCTGAGCAAACAGACGGATCTTTGTGCTCACACGGCTAATCCCCGTCCATTGACAAACAACTGCATGTGTGTTTACCTCATCCAGGATTAGTAACTGTCCTAACCTGGCATTGTAGGGGGGAGTCTGTGACACCAGGGTGCAACAGATTGCACCTTAAAGAACCTGACTCCACAGAACATGTGGCCCGACCTCAAGAGCATTTTGAACGGCGACACACTAGCGGGGGTTAGAGAGCTTTCTTAGCGACCGACACGTTCGAACTGTCTCAAAGGGAAGAAACAGGAAAGCGAGGTTTTCTTATCTGCAAATTGAGCTGTTAACCTTTGACCTGGAAGCACTGCCTGCAAACAGGACTGCGGCTAATCATCAAGCGGGTTTTCACCTGTCACACAGTGCGGTTCAGAGTTTATCAGCGGAAGAATGCAAACAGCTACAGGAGAGTTTGTGTTCAAATTAAAGCACCATTAGTGACGCGTCGAGCTCGTCTCTGCAAACAGACGAGACTTAAGGATGTTTTCATGTAGACCTGAACTCATAGGTTTGGTTTTGCATCGACTGTGGAAAACATTTACATTCGATTTACATTATTGCCATAGTTACATTATACCTAGACCACAACTGTCCACATGATACAGCCCAGCTTTCTACTGCAAACTGAGGCGTTGTGAGAGGCTTAAAGGGAGAGTTTGACTTCCCTGAAGGTCCTTGTTCTGATTTCTCATGAAGCGGCGCTTTGTTTTCCTTTATGTCAGCGTACCTTGTTCAGAGTCAGTGGAGATGGTGGAGCCCATGCTGTCTGTACGGATGCGTTCCACTGATCCAGACACAGAGAGTTGCTCCAGACGGCGTTTGAGGTAGCGGTGCTCTCTCTGCAGCTGCTCCTTCACATTTAAAGCCTTCCTGTCCTGCTCCTCCAGCTTCTGCACGACACGAGGACATCACAGAAATCAGTGAGCATGTCTGAGGAAACACACCGAAACACTAGAAGGTGGGAATCACCAGTGGCCCCACGATACGATATTATTGGAATACTTGGGCCACGATTCGTATTAGGGCCCGAACGATTTATCGGCAAGACGATCAAATTGGCCAGTTTTAGCCCGTTTGAGACTGATCGGTAATCGGCTAAAACTCACAGATTTTCGCCGATATTTTCAGAGATAAAATGCGGAGAATAAGATTCAGTTTCACTTCGAAAATGTTTCATTTTTATATTCAGTATATAGTATACCGTAGATATCCACGATATAAATATATTTTTTATAACTTCATAAAATTTTTTTGAAAATCAGCCGATTAATCGTTAATCGCCCCCCCCCCCCATAATCAATATTGGCATTAACCCCCAAAAATCCATATCAGTCGGGTCCTATTCGATATTATTGCAATTTTTTATATTTTGTAATTCAGTGAGTATTGCAATACAATATATTGCGATTTATAATTTTTTTTTTTTACTTTTTAGCTAGTGTAGTGATTGTCTTTACTTTATATTTGTCTTATTTACGCTGTATTTTATTTTCATGTAGCACATCTTGCAAACCTTATACATATATTTGTCGTACTAACTTTCTCCTGCTCTATGATGTTACCTCTGCTAACCTCACTGGACAAACACTTGATTTTATTTTTCCACAATCACAGATTTGACATCATATGAGTAATTAATTTGAAAAAAATCAATATTTACTAAATGCAACAATATGATGTATCACCAGACAAAATATCGCGATACTGTGCTGTATCGATTTTTTCTCCCACCCCTACAAACACTGTGGGTTTTTTTGTTTGTTTGTTTTCCTTTTTTTTCTACACTTTTGGTTGAACTTTACAATAATAACACAGTCGCCTTTAAAGGTTATGAATATTTTCTATCATCTGTTACTGGATTTTGAGCTTACTCACAAAGGAAACTGAAACAGAAATCTGATTCAAATCAAACAATCACACTTTTAACATTCACACTGAAAGAAAAGACAAATTTGAACATTCATGTAAATCAGTAACAAAGAAAAAATCATCAAAACAAACGAGTCAAACAAAAAGCTCCCGGCACAGCATGTTGAAGTGCCTCAAGATAGATGCAAAATATCAAGTGTCTACGTTGGTGTGTGAGGTGTGTCAGTATAAAGTGAAAGTACACACACTCGTCACATTTGAATAAGGAATTATATTAAGCACTAATTTGCATATCAAAGTTTTGGATGGTGGATCAAAGTCACTGCACACACCACGTTTCATATAGTACCAGACAACACGACACAGTGCTGAAAATGAGCAGCATGTGTTCAAGCAGAAAGGACATGCGTGATAAACAGGAAATGAAGGGTTAAAACTCGCAAACGTCTGGACTTTTCACAAACCACATTGCTGCTGCGTGTCAACAGCAAGATCAGCACAGCGTGTCCTAAACTCAACTTCTACACGATTGTTCATCCTCTGCCATGGGAAGAAAGCGTCTGCGTGTGTAAATCTCTGCTGGTCCTTCTCCTTCAGGGATCCTGCTGGTTCATACTTTTTAATGCCGTTATGTTTGTGCTAAACGCCAAAGTTAATGACCCATAAAGACGAAGTTAAACAAAGCGATTATCTCCTCGCACATATCGAAGGATCAGCCTCTAAATGCCATGTGTGTTCTACTTTGTTGACTCATTTTTTTAGGGGGTGGGGGGAGTCTTGGAGCATTTTTCAGACAGGTCCTGAAACGCTCTGATTGGGAGATTAGAAAACAATATAACACTTCACAAACTGGGCAGCTAACATGCTGGAGGCAGAGCAGAGACTACACTTGGTGTTCATGGAAATCAAGAAAAAGAAACTAGGACTTTTAGAGCCGCAACAAACAACAACTGAGAATTGTTTTACCACTCACAATCTTACAACTGTTTGAAATTGCTTCACCAACAAATCAATAACCAATTGCATTTATTCACTACACTATAACAGAGTTAGATGTTTTTAATTTTGGTACCTTGATGTGCATCTTGGCCCTTTTCAGCAGGCTCAGTGTGGTGTGTCTCGTGCTGTCCGGACCTAAAGGCACCAGCTTCTTCAGCTGTTCCAGGTACAGCCGTAGTTTGGCACGTCTGCAAACACAAAAACACAAGAGAGAGAGAGCGAGTCAGCAGACATCCAGCAGCAGCAGGAAAGCCGAAAGCACCTACACAAACAGACTGACAGGAGCTTATGCGCACACGTCCCTGAAGGGGAGAAACAAAACACTGTGACTGTCATGTTTTCTTTCCTGCCCTGGATGACATGCTAAAGTGGTGAGAACAGCGGCTGTATGCAACGTGATCAGGGTTGATTTTCTGCAGGTTTCAGTTGTGACTTTGACCACGAGAGCTTGCATGCTCAGGGAGATGAGTGGGTGCAGAGGAGTCTTACTGGTATCACATGTTGAAAGCCTGCTGGAGCTTCTAAAAGCCTGTCAGGAATCACACCCTTGTCTATCTGCAGTTCAAACATCCTCATGACCAGAAAAAAAAATAAAAATAAAAACATTTGAACAACTTAGCACCACAAAACCCAGACCTTTTAATGAAGAAGTTTATCATTGATAGTCTAAATTCAATGTAACTGAATTAAGGGTGTCCTGATACAACTTTTTTTACCTCTGATATATTACCGATATTGTTGCCTTCAATATTGGCTGATACCGATATTGATCCGATATTAGTACAAACTTGTGCACGACACGTTTTGCACTCAGGTGCAACGTCCTTTTTGGACTGTAATGAAAAATACTCCTATATGGTGTATTTATCGTGTCCCAACGATACGATATTTTCACGATACTTCAGCCACGATACGATATTATTGCGATTTTTAACATTTAGCAATACAGTGACTATTGCAATACAATATATTGCGATTTATATAATTTTTTCCAACTGTTTAGCTAGTTGAGCATTTGTCTTTCCTTCATGGCTGTTTTTATTTTCAACATCTTGCAAACCTTATATTTATATTTGTTGCTCCAACTTTCTCCTGCCTATATGATGTCACCTCTGCTAACCTCACTGGACAAACAGTTGATTTTATTTTTCCATTATTATACATTTGACTTCATATTAGCAATTCATTTGAAAAATCGTTACTTGGTGGATGAGACGACACGATATATCACCAGACAAAATATCGTGATACTATGCTGTATCCATTTTTTCTCTCACCCCTAGCAAGGACCGATAGTAAAGATGGGTCATGATTGAGCAGAACCAGATCGATATAAGACAGTTATCTGCCCAGAGAGAGATGGACAGAGGTGAGACTGATGCAGGCAGGTCCACAACAGCAAAAATGTCTGAGGAAGCTACGACACGATGGAGCACAAGGACTCCGAGTGTATAAGTGGTTCAAATGGGACATGATGATTCAAAGTTAACTCGCTCCTTAACCTATAGATCTGTGCACTCTCTACCGGTTCATTGACATTTTCCATCTCTGCAGTCAGAATCAGAAACCCCGTCTAAGAGCTCTTAGATGCACAGTCACTGTGTGCACAAGTGATTATTGACTAAATTAAGGGCCTAGAGAAGTTTGAACTCAAGGCTGAACCCAAGATGCACACTGTGTCCCTGGAAAACCCTTCATCCCTGCCAAAGCCCTACAGGCCAACAACCCCAGATCCACGAGTAAATAGCATTTCACTGGCTGCAGAATTCAGATGTTAAATTCAAAGACGCAGAAGCCAAAGTAAACATCTGACTTTGAATGGATATTGTACATTTTGTCAAAGGGTCGATTTTATTCACAACATTTTTCATCAGCAGATTACCACCCCTGTCTGTCCTTGGTCCATTCAGATTTGTTCATAAAGGCTTCTCAATTGTCCATTAGTCAAGCTTGTCCATGAACCGTTTCTTTGTTCCCCGACTCGCCTTCCCCCCTTTTTCTCCCGCTTCTTCGGCTAACTCTGACTGAACGGTAAACAAACTCCAACAATGCGAGGTCTCCGTTGGCCATCGCTGCGACCACAATAAACCTAATCAGAGAAATGAAGCTCTCCAAGGCCTTCTCACAGGAGGACACAGCCAGTACACACTCTACACACACACACAGTCTTTCCCTGTTTCTCTTTCAGGAAGGGCGTCGCCTGTGTTTTTCAGTTAGAGCCAGACCCTCTCAGCAGCCCGGTCTGTTACATTCAGAGGTCTGCCAGGGACAGCCTTCAGGGCATTAAGACGGTCTCTCAGACCAAACTTAATAACCCAAAATCCTGAATAATGGTTGCAGATTTCTTGGGATTTAATTGTGCCTACAAAAAAAAAAAATGCAAAGTGCCCCCGATCCACCTCTACCTCTCTACAGGTGCATACAGGCCTTCCCAAAAAAAAGGGCGTGCGAAAGTGCTCCTACTCTTTTATTTCCTCCTCTCCCAGGGGGCAATTTCACCTCCCCTTCCATCCACTGAAACCCCTCCACCCCTCTGCTCCACCCTGCCAACACCAACACACCCTCATCCCCGCTGGAAAACAAGTGTCTTCTGAGGACAGGGGTGGGGGCTCACCTCCAACCTGCTCCAGTCGAGCCACATGAAGCACTTGGAGAGCGGCCAGGGGAAGCAGGCAGGGGGCTGGGGGTCTGCAGCCGAGGGGGGAGAGGAGTGTTGTTTTTTTGGAAAGGGATCGGGTCTGAGCTAGTGGATGACTTTCTCTTGGGTTGAAAAAAGGACTTCTTTGAGTGCAGTGTGCTCAGCTGCACTAGGCAGCGCTCCACACACACACACATACACACCATCTACAGGGTAACTTGAGCCAATGGGCAACCATCTTGCACCCTGCTCCCCCTTCTCCCTCTGTAATGAAAAACAAAAACAAGGCGTTCCCCAAATACTCTCCCTGACAACCCCCCCATCCCCCCACAAGAAAACTTTTGACTGACTTACTCATGTCAGGCCCCACCTGTGTGCTCACCACATATTTAACCTGGCGTGCAGAGGACAGAAATGTGCACTTTCACTATTTCTTTGTACTACATGAAAATGAATGAATGTCTGCACTGTGTACTGCTAAAGCTTTCAAGTTTACAACCTGCTACTCCCCATACATGGAGACCCAGAGGGAAACCATATCTTTGCTTTCTCATGTCATGTGCATTGAGGGTCTGACAAAGTGGGTGTTCTCGCTTTTTTTTACCTTAACTTTATTGTCTAAATCTACTTCATGTTACGACTGTAAAGCATGAAAAACTCAAAAACACTTGTTAAGTTGGCACATTACTCTTTCTCCCTAAAAAAAACACAAAACAGCCACTCAAACTTTTACTGCCTCCACACACCAAGCAGGAGTAAAATCATTCGCGCTACTGAATTACATGTTAAGTCAATGCAAAGACGCAATTAGACGCTTGTACTACTCTGGTGGTGCGAGTAATGCGAATTGGGCGGGAGCTAAAAATGTCTCGATTTAAGTGGATATTCACAATAACCAATCAGCACAAAGGTTGCCAGGTGATGTATGAAAATGGACGGTTGTTCACTGGTATCTAAAGTGGAGGACAAACTAATCGTGTCGATTTCAATTAGCGAAAGCAAAATAAAGAAGAGCTCACCTGGAGGCAAGTGAGTGAGGAGGTTTGATTACCTGGTAGGTTGTAAATAACCTTTGACTATCATTTGATCCTGCTGGTTGAATTGGCAGAGATTAACAGTGAAAAAGCCGATGAAACGCAAATGAAGTGAGTAAATACTATTCAATCACGCATCTAGATTCCCGCGAATTAAGCGAGTAGATGATTTTTACTGTGAGCGCCCCATTAGAGCGCCCTCTGTCTGCAACAAAGTCTTAAAAGTCTACTCGTGTTTTTAATGTGTATATGCAGACGTGTTACTTCTGTGCACAAACAAAAGATGCAAACACCCATCGAAGCGATATTTTGGTTTCACTTCTCACAGTAGGAGGAGCTTGGTGGCACGCCGTCCATACAAACAACTGTCACTGTGAGGCTCTGACTCTCTCTGCATCTTTCTCTTTTTTACTGCAGTTCTCTGGAGTGTGTGTGACAGGACGCACTCACTATTAAACTTTAGAGCTTACAGTTGATCTGGAGCAGGGTTAAGACCCTCCCTCCCTCACGTTTTGTTATTCATAAGCCCAGCCCTTGTCACGCAATGTTTATCAGATTGCCTGCAACAGCCATGCAAAGTGTGGCACCACATGAGTGTTGTGTCTGTGAAGTTGAGCAGACAGTTCGCACAGCTGGGCCCACGTGTTCCTGAATCACATGAGATTTTCCAATTTGTCCGAGGTTCAAAATACTCTTTGATATCGCGGTCGTGAATAGTGTCACAGTGTGAGACTTTTGGTGTAGTGTCACAAAAGGCTTCTTTTTTTGGCTTGTTTTTGTCTGCAGGTTCAAACGCGGTGCACAGTGTTAGGATTTTGGTACACGAGGGACACAAAACTCATGGGACGTGTCCAAATTATCTTCATCTAAAAAAAAACAAAAAACAAATTTGAGGGTGTTTTTTTTTCTGTGAAATTGTTGGAAATGAAACTTTCTAAAGCTACGAAAACAAAACCGTCTGTAATTTCCTTGCAGTCGAGGTTCAAATAGAAAATCTGCAATTAAACTGCTCTGAAGACATGTCCGCGGGGACCTGACCACCTGATGGTTCTCACGTGCAGAGTACCACGGGATGATTTGTGTCTGATCTGCGGCCTTCCTTACCCCTCCTCCTCCCCCCCTCTGCACCGGTGCCAAAACAAAGCCGAGGCAGAAAGGCAGAGGAGAGAAAAAAGAGGAACTTTTGCTCAGAAAGCTGCACACTGCTGAAACTAGAACAAGCTATTAAACTGCTGACTTACGCTCCAAGGTTACCGGGTACACATCAGGGCTTTCACGCTGATGTGCCCACACTTTTAAGCGAGAAAAGCCCTTTAAAGTCTCGAGTCTGTGTATCTGCAGCAGCCTGATGGAAGCAAACACAAGACATTTATACACGCTGCACCAAAAGAAACGTTTTCGCAGTGTCCACATAATGGTTTGCACACACTGTCCTGGTGACAGCCGGGTCCCAGGGGCTCTGTGATTGGAGATCTATCTGTACACAAAGAGCTGCAGGGCCTGAGAAGGCGAGCCAGTGCAAACAACGGGCCCTCACCCCTCACTCGCTGCACTGTTTAATGAGCTAGCTGCAGCCCGGTGCATTCCTCAACCCGTTCGCACAGGACCGAGCGGTTTGCCTGGCGAGGAGCCAAATCCACTAAACTGAGGTCAGAGGTTGTCAGAAACACCACTGCAGTGTTTCCTCTGGCTGCAAGAGCGAACTCGGTTTGTTCCCCGTCGGGGTTGGAGAAAAGAAAACGCCACAGCAGCCTGAGCCTGAAGGATCCGCAGTCTGGTCTGCTGGCTTTACGCAGGCAGTATAATGAAATAATTACAGCTCCGAATGCACTGGGTGAGTTCGGAGGGTTTGTCATGTGACATTTTCAAAATAAAGAGCATCTTGAGAGTGTTTTCATGAGCTCGGAGGACACTCCCAGCTCATTACAACTTGGATCCTGTTTGGATAGGTTTGGCCATCATTCTTATCATTATTATAACCTTGCACTCCTCAGGTTTACTGCTCCGAGCTTGTCGCCAAAATTATATTTGAGTTTCTCTGTTTGCTGGAGTTTAGACCCTTTCCTCAACAGACATGCCAGATGTACTCTAAGAGGACATATTTGAGAAGAAAAGAGGTGTGTCTTATTGTCCCACCTTAGTACTATTATTTGATTATTTTATTTTAGGTCAATTGGTCATGTGATATGAAAGCTATCGAAGGAAAACAGCCTTTTTTGAGAACATCAACTGGTAATTTATTGATGGTCCCTTATTCAACACCCGACATTGACAGTGAGGATGCTGAGTAGATTTAATTGCGCTTTTCCGGTTATGGAGAGTGAAAAGACACCAATACATCCACAGCAGTGTTGTTTTTGTTGACGATGACGTTGACAAAAATATTTTGTCAATGTCATCGACTAACAATTTGACTGACAAAATGCTTATGAATTTCTCAACTCTGTTCGTCGTCCACCACTAACGTTTTCGTCTAGTCTCATCTCGTCAACGTAAACGCACATTCGTCTCGTCACATTTTAGTCATCTATGACTTATGTTTAGCTCGTCAACATCATGTCTTCGTAGTGGAAAAAAAGGGGCGTTGACAAAATATTTTCATCAACGGAAGCAACCAGTGTTGTTTTTGTTGACGATGACATTGATGAAATATTTTCGTCAACGTCATCGTCATGAATGAAAACAACACTGATCCACAGTGAATATCCAAACTAAAACTAACTTCACCGCAGTATTCACATGAAAAATCATTTCTTGCCTAGGCTGATTTTTTATGCGCACATGCCCTTAAACACATCCATTTTAGTTGCAAATGCGAGTGAAACGATTGCACTGTCAAGCCCTGTCAAGACATATTCCAGGAAAGTTTGTAGTTTTAAAATTAAGACATGAAACCTTTGTCATGTCCAAAAAATATTCCTATTCAATGAGTGTATGCAGTGCTGTTTTCAAAAGTTGAATATGTAGTTTATTACCAACATGTTTTTGAGCTGAGCTGAAGTTTAATAGGAACCATAAAGACTTTCCTGCAGCTACGACTCTGAGAATCTGGCTCCCTTGTTTACAGCGAGCTCTGTCATGTGGAGTGAAAGCGCGGCTGTGTTGCGTGAGTGTAGGTCAGCATGTTGAGGTGCTGGAATTTGGGGGTTGCCAGTGAAGTGGCTCCACATCTGGCTGGCAGGTTCCAAGGGAGTACGAGGCTGACGGCGGAATTGCTGAGGTGGTGAGGGACCCTTCCCAGGGAACACACACACACATACACACACACTGGGCCTTTCAGCAGCCCCTCATCCGTCTCCCTGTCACCCTCCTGCCCTGCCCTCAACATGTTTACATTTAACAGAGATCTGATGCCCCGTCTGTGAAAAACAAGAGGGTAGAAAAACAAGACGGCGCTGAAGCAGCTCATGTGAAACAGGCAGCGGTTGGTTACGCTGCCCACGTAAGCAACACACACACACACAAACACTCAGAGGTAGCTGAAAACTCTTTGATCACACTGTTATGAAAATGAAAAGCCACTCATCGGGGGGTTATCTGTATTTGTTTCTGTCATTAAGGATGCCACGCCCGTCCTCTGTGCGCACAGACAACTGCACAGGCGAGACAGACAAATTCGAATCTCCCCCATAAACAAGCTCTCCTGACAGCAGGAATACGGAGCTCTCTCTCTCTCTCACATGACTCCGCTCTCACACGCAAGCAGCAAACAACCAAAACAGCAGCGCAGCAAGAGGGAGGCGCCCAGCTTCTACACTACTCCAAGAATTACTCTCAGGAATGAGCCCTGCGTGCTTTACCCCTGATTAAAACGCAGGAAACAGCAGCGTTAGTCACTGCCTTGTTCTCTCCTTGTAGTAGTATTTCACTGTGTTTTCCGCTGGGCGTGCTCGGGAATGCCAAGCAATTAGATTCATTTGATTTTTTTTCATGTACTGAAACAATCCTCTGAGCGGGCATGGATCATTACCAAATCCTTTCTTCACACACACAAAACAGATGTCAAATAGAAGTTAAATAGCAGAGCGTGTGAGCGAACACAGAGTCGGGGGGGGTCGGACTAAAGTACGTTTCCGTGTGCGTCTCTGAATCATTTCAGCACAATGTTCAACGACAGACTTGGACGTTAATTGCCTTCCGCTCCGTGCGTTGAAAAGTACGTCTGCAAATGTTGGACAGACTAGCAGAGGCAAGTTCAGCGAGCTCAATAAACACATTCCCCCCTGACGTGGAGAGGTTTTATAATGAATCCCTGTCAATGATTAACGGAGAGGAATCTGGTGGTATGAGAGGCGACAGCAGCGTCCATGTTTACAGAAGTGGAGTTGGGCTGTTGACATCTGAAGGGGAGATTTCAGCAGAGAGGGACAGGGTCTAATTTGAGGATCTTGGCTAACCTGAGAGACCAAAAGATAAAATTCAGAGTCATTAGACAATTCTTCCACACAAAGATGCAAAGTGTGTAAGGTCTTTGATTTTTCTTAGATTCCAACCCGCTATATCATGTAAAACAAGGAAACTTTTGATGCAAAATCAAACTAGCTGCTGTGACTCCATGCTTGTCTGCAGCGCACAGCTCTAATGCTGCAGACCTTCTCCTTGGCCCGCTCGTTTTTTGACACACTCTCTCCCCCCTAAATCGCCTCTCTTACTTAACTCTGCATTCCAGCGTATGTGTGCATACTCTGCTGACCTGAATTTCAAGCTGCTCAACACACACACACACACACATAGCCACGTCCTACTCTGCATTCCCTTTTGGCAATGTTTGAGAATGTCTAGGCGTTCTTTTCTTCCTCAGGACATCCAGGACCAGACTGAGAATGCTTCGCTCACCTCTCTTTTCTTCCTGCTCTCCACAGTTTTTAACTAAACTCCTTCATTGTTTTCTTTCACTAAGCCTTGAAAGCCACCCTAAAACCGCACACCTCGTTAAAGTGCATCCTACACTGCTGTTTTTTTTATGAGCATCAGCTGCTCTGCACTGAGTTTACTGACATAGAAATGTGGTGCACCCTGCAGCAGAAACACCTGAGAGGGTGCAGGGTGCGCCATACTGTAGGCCAACGATGGTCACATTCATTCACTCAAGTATGTCTCGTATCAAGAGAAGAAAAACGCCAGCTCAGATCTACAAACAATCATCCAAAGATAGTACACACGCAAGCTGTTCTGTAACAGCAGCCAGACGTGACCTGAGTTAGTTTCTCAAGGCTCGGTGACCTCGGGGTGCTGAAATTCCACATGTGACCTCGACTCCCGACCTCCAGCTGTGGCCGCTTTCTTATTCTTTGTCCACATATTGACTCTGAAAAGTTACAACCCAGTCTGTCCTGAGGCTGCACCAACTGACTGCAATAAACAACTCGGACAAAACCAGTGGGGCCTCAGGTTGACACAGTAAGAGCAAAGAAACGTGTCAAGTGTCTCTGAAAAATTATAACGTCTGCTGTCTTTACCAGAACTAAACTTTCCTGTTTGACATTTTGTCCTTAAAACTGCCTCTAAACTACATTTCTAGAAAAAAAAAAACAACTACATGCATGTAAAAAAATTTAATTTAAGTGCTGATTGACAACAAAAACTGGTAGGTTTCTTGATAATTGACAAATGTAAGTACTTTTTTATGCAGCCTTGGTGGGCAGTGATTTCAGTTTCAACAGACAGGCTAATACAAATGTCAGGCCTAGTTTTTCTTCCCAAACCATCTGAACTGAAATATATATTCAAGTTCACAAACTAGTCTAAAGATTAAAACAAAAACAACATGAAAACTGTAAAAGTTGAGCATAACTTACTACACACAACTGCACTTAGGAACACAGAGTGTGCAAGTTAAGGATATCAAACTGGTTTGTGGTGTGTAGCATTAGCAGAGCTAGCACCACCAGCCCTCGGTGGTTAACTTCCATGTCTGTGTTTGATATTCCTGTAGCTGAGTTCATCTAAACCAGCCGAAGTGCAACTTTATATTCGTTTTTTAGTAGGGCTGTAAAGTCCTAGTCGACTGGTCGACTCATTGGTCGATCTGTGCGGAGTCGACTCGATTAATTTCCGCGTCAATTTACAGTCTATGGTTAATTTCATCAGGAGCAACGTACCAAGTGGTAATGGGGGTGTTTTCAGAGCAGGCGCGTTTCACAGGTAACAACCTGTCTCGGAACACCCCCCTTATTTTCTCCATTTTGGATTCGCCCAACCCACTGGAGACCGGTTAAAGATTAAAGAGCGTCCACATGACTCGAATTTTGGTCGAAAATTTCAGGGTTTGAGTCGACCAAGAATTTCTTTGGTTTACACCCGTGCAAAAATACTTGGATAGGTTTGGGGGGTTGTGGAGTATTACACCACAGGTCTCCATTAGCTGCAACAGCCCTTGTTATTGGTGGGTGGCTGTACTTTAACTCAGACATAATATGTTTAGATGCTCTTTACACAAGAAACTATAAAAGTATGACAAGTGCTCATTGCTCCAGCTTCGTGGTTGTTATTGTTTTCTGCTTTTTTTTTACAGATTACCACTTCCCTGTTTGGGGTTGCACTTTAATAATGACGCCCAAAGCTCATGACAATTTCATAGTTTTACAGAAAGAAGAAAAAAATCGTCTCATCCAACAATACTGACATTAATCGGTCCCTCACTCATTTAAATTAGAAATAAAATCATTGTTGATGCAGTTGTTGTTCTCATAACCTACAGCTTAAGCCCACTTGGGTCACCTCTCTCTGGTTTCATGTTGAACACACATGTCACCGCACACTTGTTCACGGTGTGCACGTGTCCCTATAATCAGCCTATGCACCGGGGATCACTCATTACTGGGGGTTATTAGCTGCCCATGCAAGCCCTAATGACCCCGGGTCTGCACACATCTATGAGGAATGTAACAGACAGTGTGATATCTAGGGAAGTTCAGCCACGTGCGATCATGTGAGCATGTGAACGCCACACTTTCACCAAAACGGGAAAATAAAGAGAGGGAGATGTTTTCTGGACTCTTTTTGACTATTTAAAAGGGAATTAATATCTACAAGCAGCATGTGGACTTGATATGACCTTTACTCCACGTGTTCATAATAGCTGTGCAGTTTATAATCCTCATCAAAATGTAGAACAACAGGATTAACAGGCCCATCAAACCCTGGCTTTCCTCCACATAAACTAAACAAGAATTATACCTCCAGAGCGGATGGACTGGCACTGATGAGTCCCAGCAGAAGAACCAGTAAAGAGTGATAAAGGCCCTCTGTGAGCAGGGAGCTCTGCCTCTCTCCGCCCTTCTTCCTCAGGTTTCTGCTGACTCAGACACTTTTAGGGGGGGCAAAAAAAAGAGGCCAGAAACGGAGAATAGAGGGAAAAAATCACAGGAAAAAAACAGATGGGGTCTCTGGAGAAGGTAAGGAGGTGAAGTAACAGGGGCTGTGGACTTAGAGCTCTCCCTCCTGCCATAACTCACACAGCTTGGGCCTGGCTTACACACACACACACACACACACACAGACACAGGGTTTCACTCAAGGGGAAAGAGGTCCTCAAAGCCAAATAACTCATTCATCACAGCTGGGAGTAGAAGACACCGGGAGAGTAAATTTAATTAGAGAGAAGATTAGAGCGTGACAGAGTGAGCGCCTGCTCCTGTGCCCCTGACATGCATGTAGATTCAAAGTCAGGTTCACGAAGTTTCACACACTCCCTGCACATTATAAACCTGCTGTGATATATATACTGTAAGACTACACTACTTGTGGGAATCAGCCTGCAAACTTTGCAAAGTGAGAGACAAAAGCGAGAGCACCTGACAGACGCGGGCGATGTTTGTGTCTGCAGAGGTTAAAAATAGAGCTGCAAATCCTTTTTTTCAATCGAGGGAAGCAGCTCAAACGTAGCAGAAAGCAGACCCTTGCGCCACAGGACTCAGATTTCCTGTAAACAGGTGATGCGAGGAAAAATGAAACTTGTGTAGTTTCTCGTGAAGCAAGCAAAGTCGTCATAGGCGTGTGAGCGAAAGCGGTCAGTCAGAAAATAGGAAGGAAGCGACGCTGGCGGAGGCCAACCACACGGCAGCGTTTTGGTTTTCACATTACAGGCTGATACTTTGCTGTGCCAGTGCAATGACGAGGATAAAGACATGAGAAAAAAAAAACAAAACAGAAACAAGAAAAGCAGCAGAGTCATGGTGAAGCTATACAGAGCTGCGCGCAGGCTGCAGCAGATAAGCAGGTCGAGTCGGGACAGACGTGCAAGTGGGACGCTGCTGGCAAACACCCAGATGTGTCTCTCTGATAACAGGACTCGGATATATGCAGGCAGCATCATGGGGGACACCTAGCATGTTTAAGATACACAGGAGGGGGAGAAATTTGAGCCGAAAACAGAGCAAGTGGTTGGAGTTAAAATAAGAAAAAAGTGTGTCCTTAACCGAACTAACTCCTCAAACCACAATTTGGCCGTTCTCAATAAAGTTGATGCCTTCCGGTTAAGCAGACATTAATCAGTCACCTGTTTCCCACGTGATCAGGACAAGGATGGCTCTGTGCTGCACCAGTGTGAACCAAACACACCGACACATGACCAAACAAAGACAGTGAGTCAGGCCTCAGACAGCAGCACCACCTCCCTGCAGCGGTGTGACAGGGTGTGAGGAGGAGGTCCAGCCTTTTTTTCAGAAACGATACTGGGACTAATGTAAATGAAAATCATGGAAACTGGTTGGACAGGACAGCTGCTTTAGACTCTTGGGTTTTTATATGAATCAGAAACAGGTAGGCAGAGATCACATAAGGACACTGACGGTGTTGCTAAAAGGCATGCAGGCATGGTCGGGGCTAAACCGATACTAGTGTTCACTGAGAAGTCTTTCTTTAATTAATGAATTAACTACTTCAACAAACTCCAATAATGCAATCACTTCATTTCCTTTTGCACAATTCCAATAGACAACACGCCACGTACACAACCCCTTTTAGGTAACCATGAAACAGGCTGAAGTCACAGTTTCGACCTGTAACACCTGTACATTGGAGTCATGAGCGTGTAATTTGTGGCCGCAGGTCCAGACGGGTTGAATCAGGATGCAGCGTCGGATCACAATAACACCTCGTCACTGTCGGGGGCTGTCATTACCAACAAGAAGGTAGAAATTTTCCCGCACAAACAAAAAGTATTGTTAGAGTATCTTTCCATGAATGTATTTTTAACTCTCATATCATGCTCTGAAGATGAGTAAGATTAATCTCATGCTTCATGATCCCCGTCACGTCCCTGTTTCGAGTGTGACAGACTCATCTTCTTTGAGAAATTTGTGGTTTTCGTGATGACATAAGTAGTGTGTAAACTGCTTATGAAAAAACTTTGCTGGTAAATCTGTCAGTTTGACTGGACGTCACTCTGACCACATCTGTCACCGGACATGAGGTAACTCCTCTGTCTCAACACCTGCAGTGCAGTCAGCCCCGGCCCTTCTCTGCGTCTCAGGTCAGAGGAGGAATATGTCTGCACTTGTCTGTCTTGCTGCCGCTCCACAGGTCATTACTCACTCCCTCTCAGACATGTGACTGGCAAACCCAGGCCCCTCAGTGTGGGTGACAGTGTGTGTGTGTCATGCACATGCAGCCTTGTAAAAGAAAAACACACCCATCCTAGTCTCTGCTCACATGCTGATAGCCACATCAGCTGTTTTTTTTTTTCTTTCTTTCTTTTTTTTCAAATCCTCTGTGGTAAGCACTTTTTAAGAATCAGACCCTGAAGAAAAAATAAACACAAAGAATAAACTCTCAGGGGGAAAAAAAACTGTTTTGTACCAGAAGTCCCCTTTTTGGAGTGTCACCTCACTCAAAGTTATGTCCCAAAGGAAGCAGGGGGGGAAAATGTCAATGTTTGAGAGCTTAAGTGAGATGCATGTGAGTTTGTTTGTGAGCGTTTCTGCCATCTGTGGGCCTCTCAGTTTGGACGAATGACAAGCAAGAGCCAGATTTTACCCCGCCTGTGCTCGCAGCGTCAGTCTGGGCAGGATTATCACATTACTGACAGGATTCCCTCTCCATACAAGGTAACGAGTTTCAAACCATGAAACGGAGACAGATCTAATCAACGTGAGGGGTGCGCTTTGAAATCAGCTTATTATCCGTTATTCAGACACAAGGTATTAATTAAAAATGACCTCTGGAGGAAAATGTCTGACATGAGCAATGCTGTGTTGTAGCGTGTTGTAGCTTACCTGTGTTTCTCCAGCTCGTTGTGCGATGATCTGAAAATACAAACGAAAGCTGTTAAAATCCTGTCAAAATAGTACACAACAAAAACATCACATCATGTCACATTAGAGGCAGGATACATTCTAGGGAGCAGTCCCAAGGTGAGAGGCTTCTAAGAAAATGTTCAGATCTAAAGACGGCAGCAAAAAGTTTGGAGGGAAAAGGAGTAAAACATCAAAGACGGCTCTGTTTTTTCTCTTTCTTTGTACTCAAGGTGGCTTTAAGTTTCTTTAATGCTGTGAAATCAAGTTGTCATCCTCTGAAAACATTTGCTGCAAAGTTATTCTGAAATGCAGTCGAGTCAAGGGCGTGAAAACAGATACACAAATTAATGACAAGTGTGCATAAATGAGGTCTGGTTTTTAATCCTACTCTGTGTCTGAGTGATATCTTTCAGAGAGCAAAAGTGACCCTGACAGAGAGCAGAAAGAGCTGTGACACTGCACGACACCACCCCACCCTCTCTCCTCACCCCTGCCCGCTCTTACACATACGAACAGCATGCGCACACTGCTGCCGTTGTTGTTGTTGTTGCACGCTGGCTGAAAAGCAGCGTGCACGGGAGCTAAAAACACCCTCAGACGTCTGGAGGCCTCAGAGCCGCTGCAGAAATTCCTCAGAGTGTAGGCTATTACGAGTCCTGCCCCTATCGTGGTGTGCATCGAGGGCACTGGCTGAAAAAAAAGGCCCTCTGTTCATGAGACCGTCATGGATACCGCGGCAATAAAAACAAAAACAGCGACGACAAAGGGCCAGACTGACAACAAGCCTTTTCAGAATTTTTTTTCCACAGTTTGAGAGCCCTTGTGCTGGCAAAGCAGTGGTTCCCACAGCTGGGCCGAGACGGAGGAGGAGGAGGCGGCTGAGGCTGAGGTATCTGCACCAAAAAAGGGTCACAATGCGGCTGTGATACTGTGGCTTTGCAGAGTGTCACACCGCTGCTTATAACCTGAATGAAAAGCCAGACGGAGGGGAAAGTTTTGAGATGAGGGGTGGGGGAAAGCACCGAGCTTGACCAGGAAATCATACAGCAGATTGCAAAGAAGGGAATGCTTACAGACCTGTGACAAGAGCAGGTTAACACACACACACACACCTTTACCTGCTATGCAAAAGAATAGCTTGGCATGCAAATGAGCATGATGAGCTGTCAGAAACTTGGCCCCGATGATCAAAGACTCTTACATTAGCCTGGTATCACCCTTTTAATCGACTGCTCGAGTGTATCCTCAGAGCACACTGTGTCTGTGTGTCACTGCCTTCATAGGAGGAGTTTGAGGATAGAGAAGAAGGGTTTCGTTTCTCATTTGCGCTATTTTTAAGTGTAATTTTACACCAAGAGTAACAGGGAGGTGAAGCTAAATTTAAATTCCAGGTTTCCCTCTTTTTTTAGACGCTTTTTGATTTAACAACAGTCCACGAGTTTTAAAGTAAACCCCACTTATGTGCAGAAATAGACTGCAAGGAGAGTGTGTGTTTTTTTAAACCTTTTTGAACCTTGCACCATGACAAAACATGTTATCCATTTTCCATCCGCAGATTCGATCATCATATCGAACACTAAAACTTTAGTTTATTGGTCCAACAAAGCAAAGCATTGTGGGTTTTTTTTTTTTAGCTAAAAGTCAGCCGCTGTGGAAGTGAAAATACGGTTTAACATGTTTTTCTTCCCTCCCCCGGCATCCTGTTGATGCTTCATAAAAAAGAGAGTCTCTGTGAGAGCATAAAGGGGGAATGGAGATTTGCCCTACAGAGCAAGTCACAAGAAAAAGGAGGGAAAAGCAGGTGTGGTGCATGAAGCCTGTTGGTGGGCTGGCGTTTGTCACAGTATGGAAGTGTCTGTTTGAGCCACCACACCCACCTGCCACATCCCCACACACACACACACCCTTACACACAGATACTTGTGAATGACTGTGAGCCTTTTTGGAGTGTGTATGAAAGGAATGTGGACAATGCTGCTCTCTCGTTTGTGTCTCAAAACTTGGCTTAACTTTCAAAAGAAGTTTTATTACGACAGCAAGACTATACAAACATATACGAACATGCGGTACGCGCCCTGACGTAACTTGCTGATTTACAACTGAGGAAATAGTGCTCGCCAAACTTCCCTAAACTAATATTAGCCAACAGGAAATTTTACTTTTTTTCATCGAATCTTGATGCGCCAGCGCTGTTGGGAATACGACTGAGATGAGGATTTAACTCATTTCAAATTCATCGAGATTCATTGTTTCACACCTGGCAAACAACATATCTGGATGTGTGTCACCTAGAGTGTTAAAGGCCTGAAATAAGGGTCATACTGTGTCAGAGGAGTGGGATTCCTGATCAGGGTGTGTCCCACATTGATACAATCAATTCAAACCCTCTTAAAAGGCCGACACAGTGGAGGTCTGCATGGTGTGAAAAACCTCCAAACAAGCTGAAAGAATCAGTCAAGTTAAAGATTAGTCAGGGAAACTGAAAACTCTGTATGTTGTCAGATGAAGGTACCTCAAGAATACATCCTCTGACATACAACATGAGAATATTTTTGAACTAATCCAGAAAAACTTTGAATTAACAGGGAAATTAGACACCAGTCTTGCTTGCTGCCCTTTAGCTGCAGAGGCTTTATGAGTTAAATGTTAACTATCTGAATGACATTTGACGAGCTTTGGCTTCGAGGGCTTTCTTACAGGACTGAACCGAAACTGAAACTTCAATCGATTAACTTATGTAATGCAGTTCTGAGTCGTTTTACGGTCGTAATTGCACTCTTGTCTGTATCAGTTGTAGACTTTGACATCATCTAAACGAGGTAAAACTCAAGAGGAGCACGCCTTAATTCAACTTTAATGAGGAGGGAATGGAAATCAACCGATAACATGATCAGGAACTTTGACAAAAACAGCGTAACTGAGTGAAACTGGCATGTTCTTCCAGGGAAGGAAGTGGATGATTGTTGACAAGAGAGGACCCCCTTTGTAAACTACATTTCTTTTAAATGCAACATCAACTACACACACACACACACACACACACACACACACTCTCGACCACATGAAAATGAGAGATTACATAGGTGACAACAATGGTGGGAGACATGGTGCAGAAATGGCTGGTGTGTGTCTGTGTGTGTTTTTTCCTAGCATGAGGAGGGGTGTGAGTGTGTGTGAAACACAAGGAGAGAGGGGGCAGCAGCAGAGTTGACAGTGTACGCGTGGCAGTGTTTATTGGAGAGACCAAAACACAGAGAAAGAGAGAGAGAGAGAGAGAGAGAGAGAGAGAGAGAGAGAGAGAGAGCCCAGCCCAGGCGGCAGAAAGATGGCAATATGCACGAAAACAGCTCTGACTGAACGTGTCGTGGAAGTTTTATAGAAAAGCAAAAGGTTTTATATTTACCTATTGTTCTGAGTTTTTCTGGAGATTGGCGATGCTTTCGTTTTCTTTCTGGAAAAGTCGCTACTGTACGGTAAAACAGACGCATAACCGTGTTCTGCCTCTACAAAGAGAAAGAAAGAAAGAAAATGACAACATTAATGCAAGGATTTTTGAGACGAGACTTGAAGTGAAGGATAAAATACATCTATAAGACCCAGCACTGCATTCACCACAGTCTATAACATGGTCGAATAATCGTACATGACAATATACGAGTATCTGTCATCACGATATTTTCAATGTCACTCATTTCAAAGGCTTATTCAAAACCACATTTCGTTCAGAGTCTAGACCTGAATGTGGGCTTTAAGAGAAATACATGCAAACGCACTTCATAAGCAGACAAATACACTTTAAAACCATGATATCAAGATAACAATAAAGTCCAGTTTGCACCAGCCGCCTGCTCTCTATCCCATTGTCTGTAAAGTGACATCATACCTGCACTGTGGCAGGGCACGTTCACACATAACTTTGCATTAAGATAGAGTTAAAAGCTGCTTATCCTTTCTCAAAGTCTCAAAGCGTTAGCCCACAAATCTTGACAACTTGTCAATGTAGCTTAAAAAAATACCTCTGTCTCTTCTTTCCAAGTACTCTGCAGCCTCCAGCAAGATTAATAGAGAATTAAGTTCCATCTCGTTGTTGTCTTCTTATAAAAATAGAAGTACTCTATTTACATGAATGTACAAGTCATGAGAAAACCGAATGGAGGTTTAAAAACTGTTCAGAGCGATGTATGTGTGCCGCTATATTCACTTCTGAGTCTGGGCGACTCCAAACTACAGTATCAACAGCACGTAACTAAAACTCAGGGACGTGAGTGAGGGCAGCTGTGGCCAATCAGAAAAGCTCGGAGGAGGGCTATCCGCGTGTGTCTCAGCCAATGAGCTGGCTTGACTTGATGAGTGGGATTTGATTGGCCAGACGTAGTAGAAGTCATCAGGTACATGCCCTAGCAACAGCCCGAACTGCCCGACCCCTCTGTAGCTGATTGGCTTGACACGGTTACAGCCAACGCTGATTGGCTGGGAGGAATTCTCGGCCTGAGTCAGGATGAACTTGGGATGTTGTTTAGGTTGCCAAACTTGATAACTTCTCAAAAGTATGCTTTAGTAAACATCATTTAACAACTACTCAGCCATTAAGGTTGTTTTTCACATTATAGCTCTTAGTCCTCAACTACTTCTCATGCACTTTTCACCAAATTGCCAAGTTTTTTTGTGGAGGATCACGTGACTAGCAAGCAGTTTTATCATTTAATTTTAAGGCCACCACTATCAAACTGTTAAAGGTTGCACTCATATAAGCTGTTTAATATATCAAACCATTTGCATAATGTTTTGAACTTTTTAAATATCAATTTTTGGCATGCTTTCAAATGACCTAGAAAAAAAAATTTCAAACTTAAAATGCATCAGTAACAAGAATAAGCATGATTTTTTGGCAAATGTACAGAAAATTCACAGCTATTTAAATGATTCCTTAAATGTTTGTTAAATGCAAAAGAAAAACATATTAGTGGTTTGCCTTAAAACATTTTAAGGGGTTAAGGAGGTCATTTGAATTAAGGTCCTTTCACACCGGGACCGTGTTTTACGTGCGATTATTTCAGACATCAATATTTACAATAAAGTGATATTGCAGCATTTATTTTTTCGGATCATGGTCTATTTTTTTTAAGTTTCGCATACTGTGTGTCCACTTCTGGCTAATCAGATTGCATGTTGTTGCGACGTTAGATTACCTGGTATCTCTGACATGGTCGACCGGCTAATCGTTTACGTGTTGGAGAACAGAGTGCTTTTTGATAAAAGACACAAACATTACAAAGATAACAACCTGAAGGACAACTTGTAGAGAGTTATAGCGTCAGATTTCTCATATGACGATGGTTTTGTGTGCTTTGACAGTTTGCTAAACATCTTTGTTTTAACTTTCATCTGTGCTAAGTAACTTTAGCTCGTAAGCTAACCTGTTCAGATACAACATACCATATGTATTTTCACTGTCTCAAACAGCACCATTAGGTCTCGGTTGTTACCTTACATTTGTGGATTATAGTTTAATGTGCTTGTCTGGTACTGGCCATCTCAACACTAGTTGAGATGGCTTTTCCCCCTTGGAAAGTCACATCGGGCTTGATGTGTATAGTCAGGCGCGTCAAAATTCGCCTTCAAATAATTCGTAATTTCGCAACCTATATTCGCGTCGGCCCCGGTATATAAGGACCTTAAGTCAACTGTTGTCTTTTTTTCAGGTATTTTGCTTTATAGTTTGCTTGTATTGGCTTGTAGTGCTATTTCACTCTCCACATCCTACTGTTATAACTGTTGGTCTACTTGCTTGCAGTGACAAATAGGCCTTTAGTTTTTTCTGCTAAATCGATTCAAAATCAGGAAAAAAGACTGAAAGAATGGGCCAAATATAGTATGTAGTTTATGCGCTCGTAGGGGAAATATGAGACATTTTCCAGCTCGGAAGGTCAAAGTCCAAGTGAAGTCACAAGTCAATGGTGTTGAAGTCAAAGTCGAAGTGCAGCTGCAAGTCTTTTTTATTTTTGTTGAATCAACTTTCATGTCATCAGATCCATGACTCATCCATGAAGTCCTTGTGGTGTGACCTGAGCCCACACCAGCTTCTTCTAGGTCTTGACTCTGTTTTAGATCTTCATTTCATAGGATCAGAGCATTACAATCAAACCTAAACTGTTAATTCTTACAAAGAGAGCCTTCGTCTGTGTGCCTGCTGCTGAATTGTGGTTATATGATCTAACTGCCACTTTGCAGGGGTGATGGAAGAGCAATAACTATCTCAGCAGGAGGGCAGCATGCAGAGTACAAACGTGATTCTGTGTGCATGGCATGCAGCTGATATTGCTAACAGTCCAACATATTGAAGGAGATGTTCTGAGGAAATCACAAAAAAGGGAAGTGACTCAAAGTGTGAATGATGAGCAAAAGGCCCCCAAGGACCGGAGCCACAAATATTGTTATTGGTTATACATGTCACACAGAATCCTTGTGGGGCCTGCACTACATGCAGTTTATCATAGATTGCAAGAGTTCAGACAGCTTAAATTGCTGGTTAGATCTGTTGCTATCAGCCTGTGTGCACAAAAACAAATTAGGAAGAGTTATGAACAAATAAGGAAAAGCTGTAAAGCTGTGCGTGATTATAACAAACACAAGTGAAATAAGGATTGTTCTGAGAACTGGCTGAAGAGTTGAACAAATTTCCACAGAAACATGCCTATACTTAGGAGTGTTCTATAATGTTAAGTATATCTAATGTTAAGTAATAAACATGCAAACTGTTCCTTCCAAAATGATCCCTAAATTTCTAAGGGTAATTTTTTGTGTAAGATAAAGTAAGATTTATTACAAGACTGCTGGTTTTAGGAAGGCTAAATTTGTCTGTTTAAACTGGCAGGTCAGTGAAAATGTTGAGTGTGCAAATGAAAAAAAAAAGATATTTGATGTTTGAAAAATGGGATTAAAGTTAGTCACTCCCTGCAGCCATGTGAGAACCGCTGTTTATTTCATAACTAAATTCATGGTTGATCTGATGCAAATCAGATCCTGCACATGGTTTCCAGTTGTTCTAGCTTTTTGTTTGCCTTTTTACAAACCACTTAAGAGGCATGCTGTTTGCAAGTGAGATGATGAATGTTCGCTCCGCCCATGCAGTTTTAATTTACTACACATCAAAATAGGGGGGGTATTTTTTGCTTTTGTGTGTCACTCCTTCAGCTTAATAGGATACTATGATTTATGTATGAGGGAGATTGATAGCTTTTCAGAGGAGACAATTGTTCGCTGTCCTGCTTGCATGTATGCTCTGCACAGTGACGTGAGGACACAGTAAACAGGAGACCAAATTAGCAGAGCAACATCTTCGTTTCAGATGCCAAAACCAATGCACAGTCATACTGAGACTAAAACACCAGCAGTGGAAGTGTTTCACAACAACTAAGCTACTGCTTTTTCTCAGGTCGCGCCTGGTGCTGTATTCGAGCTGCAGTTTGTGACTTTTCCTGGGGTTATTACAGGGCAAGTTGTATCATTCTTAATATGAACTTGAACATGCAGTGACATAAATTCAATCTAAACCCCAAACTCTGAGCATCTGTTGCTAATTTCAGAGTTTGGGGTGTGAGGTTATGAGGTCACATAGTGTTTTTGCTCTTTGGGGTTTGGTGTGTGTGTGCATTTGTTTGACCCCACTGAGGTCATTGCAATGCAATCTAGCAAACCCTGTTAGAAAGTTGACCTTGACCCTGCAGGGATCATTTATGTAAGCAAACATTCATCACTGTGTACATGGTGTCTTCTCATGGAGTTCTCATTTTTACAGTTTTTTCAGCCTGTGCTACTTTTCAATGCTGCTGCATTTGCAGCAAATATTCAGTGACATAATTTGACAACCATCTCAGTTACAGTGATGACTTTATCAAGTGATCTGTAAGGCAAAGAACTTGGTCAGTAGACAGAGCAAGAAAAGGTCTGTTTTTCTGCATGTTAATCTACATGGACTCTTCTGTATTTCCCCCGTATCTCATTTCCATGCAGCGTTTACAGCATGCACACACCAAGTTTTTTTTCTTTGTATCAGCAGTTCTTCTGACAATTGACAAACCTACATTTGCATTTTACTGCACATTTTTTATTCCATCTGGTGACTCCAATCTTGTGGTAATGCACTTAGTCATCACCTCAGTGTATTTTATGTCATTGTACCAGATGTAATGATGACCAGTTTTGTCCTAAAACATGCCTTACACTACAGATATTCAACCACCCTTATGCATCATATGAAGGGAAATAGCCTTTGTCCCTCCCACTGCATGCTTCTATTTATAGACTTATCATCTGCAAGCTCTCTGATCACACTGGCTCAGGCCTTGCATCGCTCATTGCCTCAGGCCTGTCGGCCAAATGGCTACTCTCTCTCTTTCTCTCCACTCTTTCTATGCCCTATGCTTGTGAAGTGTCTTGGTCCTGTAAATCCCACCACCAACAACAAACAGCATCATAGAGATCAGCAAACAGAGGATTATGAACTTGAATGTTTGGGTCAAATTATGCGTTGAGAAAGGCTTTTGACCCTGATATATATTCAGTATTTTGTTTTGTTGAGTAGTTTATGTTTTTACATTTGTACAAAATTAGTAGGCTTTGCTGCACTACGCTCCATTATTAATCAGTATTTGCTTTACTGTGAGAACACATATATTAAATGTTGGGGCACTGCTTAGTTGACCTTACAGTCAGCACTTATCATGCCCAACTGAAAATGCAGGCTTCTTACTGTGGTGTTTAAAGTAATCTCACTGTCCTCACTAAACTTTGCCCCATAAAAAGGTTTAATTTCCCATCTCCCTTTGATTACTATTGGGAAATAATAAAGACAAATGTGGAGTCACACTTTAAACAAACTATATGAGGCCTATGTTGAATGTTTCTTATAAGGAGGGCAACTTGACAAGCCCTCAAGGGTTTTATTAGCTTCTCTGCACATTTCCTGCCCTTTGTTACTGAACAATAAGGTTTGTCATGTTTTTTTTTTTTCATGCATGCAACACTAAGTAAATAGATGACATAAAAATGTAAGGTTTATTCACCTGTGTTGGTCAGTCTCTATCATTAAGGCGTGACACAAAATATCAGCTGCACATGTTTTTCTGCTTCCTGATTCTCAGGAAGTTGTCACTGAATGATAATCCTTCATGCTAAGTGATGTTCTCAGGAAATGACCCAAACTCTTTCAATGTGTGGTTGGCGAGAGCTTTGGATGTGACTCCTCT